TTGACCCTTTTGTCTATCCTTGGCTGCCTGCGCCGTTCCCAGGCCCTGGCGACTGTGAGCAGCGCTGCAATGCCCCTGGGCGTGCAGGTGCTTTTCTGCTGTTCTTGTGAGGAGCTACATTCTGATCTCAGCACTCCTGGCACCTCTGTAGCAGCCTCAGCTGTTGGCAATGGGGGAGGGAAGGGGGAAGCTTTGGGCGGGTGACAGACACACAGACCAAGGAGAGGGGACGCAGCCCAGAAAGAAACTCCTACAGTGGTCAGACACTTGGTGAGGGGCCGTCAGCTTCCACGGGGGAAAGCTGAGATTTTCATAACGGTGCTGGGAGACTCAGCCCAAGTGATCATGGAGAAGTTTGAGTTCAGGGTCTCAGTCCAAGGGCAAAAATGTAAACCAGGTGACTCCAGGCCCTCCAGGGCAGAGACAGCCCAGGGGAGAGACACTTGCTTTGGATGTGGCTGACCCCAGCTGGGTCCCTGGCACCACACAGGGCACCTCCAGGCCCAACCAGGAGTGTCCCTGAGCACGGAGCCAGGAGTAAGCCCCTGGCACTCCTAGGGGCGGCTCCAAAACAAGCAGAAATAGACCTAAAAATGAGACCTACACAGTAATGCACTTAGAAGAGAGCCGGCGGGCAGCTCACACTGTCCAGAACAGGGATTGTCTGCCTGTGGCAGGGGAGGCCGGAGAGCAGGAGACTGACCGGGTGAGCAGATGGGCGCCCAGGGCAGCGCCAGGGCGAGGAAACAGCAACTCAAAGTGACGAACTTCTCTCATGCGGCTCATTTGGTCAGGGATGGGTTCCCAAAGTCTGTAGGCTAGTGACCTCGGAAAAGTCCACACTTTCTCATGGACACAGGCCAGGGCTGCCCACGCGCCCCACCTTCAGGTGTACACAGTTCAGGACTGCCCATGCTCCCCTCACCTCCAGGTGAACACAGTTTAGGGCTGCCCACACCCCCTACCTCCAGGTGGACACAGGTCAGTGCTGCCCACACCACCTACCTCCAGGTGGACACAGGTCAGTGCTGCCCACAAAACCCACTTCCAGGTGGACACAGGTCAGGGCTACCCACTGGCCAGCCCCAGGGAAGCTGTGAGCCGCGCCCAGCCCTGGGTGATACTGTTCTCATGGAAGCCTCTGCATTTCTTTTCTGGTTTTTTTTTTTCTTTTTGGGTCACACCCAGAAATGCACAAAGGTTACTCCTGGTTCTGCACTCAGGAATTACTACTGGCGCTGCCCAGGGGACCATATGAGATGCTGGGAATCGAACCTGGGTCGGCTGCATGCAAGGCTCTACCCACTGTGCTACGGCTCCAGACCCGCCTCTGAGTTTCTGAGGGAGGACTGTGAGCAGCTGAGTTAAGGAGAAAAGTCACCCCTCTCCGTGGCAGCGAGGCAGGAGAGTGACGCTGGTGGCAGGAAGCGCCGGCCGGGCCATCCGTTCTGCCAGCAGGATGGTGCTCACTGGCATCGGTGCCTGCTGTCCTGGCGTGGTGGCCGCTGAGCCGTGACTGTCGCTCTGTCTTCTAGGGTCCAGGCTCTCAGGGCTGAGGAGTGCCCAGATGCCCAGCTCGGGGCCGGCCGGGAACGGGGGTCAGAGAGGTCGATGCGCTTTTGAGGTCAAATGTCCGACGTGGTTTTCAGTTTTGTGTGACTCAAAGGTTGGTAAAACCTGGTCGTTGGGTCTGAAGGATAACAGGAGCTGAGGCGCTGGCCTTGCATGTGGCTGACTCTGATTCCAGTCCCCGGTACCACCCACAGGCTCCTGAGCACCACCGGGATGACCCTTGCGCACAGGGTCCGAAGGAGCCTCTGAGCACCACAAACACTCCCTCCCCTCCAATAAAAACAATAACAGAAAATTGAGCACTTGGTTCTCGTCCACCACGCCTGGTCCAAAGCGTGGTCGTTCTCATCCTTCCCTGGCATGCCGAGGGTACACACGAGGTCGGTGTGGTGGGCACTGCTCCAGGGGCCGTGTCTGAGAGGGCACTAGACTTCCTGCCCTGTTCTACCCTCTTTGGAAGGGGCCAGGACATTGTGGCGCTCATCTTTCCAGTCCTGGGAGTGGACATAGAGGAGGACATAAAGTGCTCAGTTTCCCTGAGGCTGCCCGGCAGGGGTCCTGCCTGGCTGCAGGGGGCTTTCCTTAGAGGGCTGCCATGGCACGAGACAGACCACAGCCACCTGGAGCAGCTGACCCCACTGTGAGGTGGCAGACCCCACTGTGAGGCAAGCTGACCCCACTCTGAGGTAACTGACCCCACTCTGAAGTCGCTGACCCCACTGTGAGGCAAGCAGACCCCACTGTGATGTGGCAGACCCCACTGTGAGGTAACTGATCTCACTCTGAGGTAGCTGACCCCATTGTCAGGTAGCAGACCCCACTGTGAGGTAACTGATCTCACTCTGAGGTAGCTGACCCCCACTGTGACGTGGCAGACCCCACTGTGAGGTGGCAGACCCCACTGTGGTTTGCCCAGACCCCCGAGGCCTTGGTGACCAGGGCAGAGGCCCCACACTGGCCAGCAGGGGGCAGCAGAGCGCCACTCCCTGGCCTGTTCCCCGCCGCCCCCCCCCCCCCCCCCACCTTCCTGGGGACCCCAGGGAGCATTTAGACAATTAACAGGGCATCAGGAGGAGGTGTGAGGTGGAAACCCAGACAACCGGGGAGGAGATGTGGGGGAACGGGGCGATAGGGCGGGGACCCTCCCACAGTGAGAAACAGGAAACAGAGTGGGGTGGGGGTGCCCCCTGGAGGGAGGGAGGCCACGTGGGGCCTGGACTTTGGGCACTGCTGGGAGAGACAGTCGCCTCCTCTGGGGGTGCCCCCCACTGTGAAGCAATCCAGGGGCCTTGGGGGAGGCCTGCCTGAGGAACCGGAACCCACCCCCAGAGGGCTCAGAGGTCACTGTCCCTGGGCGAAGTGTCTGGACAAACTGTCGCTCCAAGTCACTCTGTTTCCTCTCCCTTGAAAGATCACAGTGGCAGACAGCAGCGGCCGATTGGTTCCCTCCAGCCTCCCTGCAGGCCTCACTGGAGGATGTACTCACCTCACAGTTGGAGTCACCACACAGTGGGGTCTGCTTGCCTCACAGTGGGGTCTGCTTGCCTCACAGTGGGGTCAGTTACCTCACAGTGGGGTCTGCCACCTCACAGTGGGGTCAGCAACCTCAGAATGGGGTCTGCCACCTCACAGTGGGGTCTGCCACTTCACAGTAGGGTCTGCCACCTCACAGTGGGGTCTGCTTGCCTCACAGTGGGGTCAGTTACCTCACAGTGGGGTCTGCCACCTCACAGTGGGGTCAGCAACCTCAGAATGGGGTCTGCCACCTCACAGTGGGGTCTGCCACTTCACAGTAGGGTCTGCCACCTCACAGTGGGGTCTGCTTGCCTCACAGTGGGGTCAGCTACCTCGGAGTGGGGTCTGCTTGTTTCACAGTGGGGTCTGCCACCTCACGGGGGGTGGGAGTCAGCTACCTCAGAAAGGGATCTGCTTGCCCACCAGTAAGGTCTGCTTGCCTCATAGGAAGGTCTGCTGGTCTCACAGGAGGGTCTACTCGCCTCACAGTTGGAGTCAACTTACCTCACAGTGGGGACAGCTACTTCACAGTTGAGTCTGCTCACCTCACAGCATGGTCAGCTACCTCATAGTGGGGTCAACTCTCCTCATAGGAAGGTCTGCTGGCCTCACAGGAGGGTGTACTCACCTCACAGTTGGAGTCAGCTCACCTCACAGTGAGGTCATCTACCTCAGAGTGGGATCAGTTACCTCAGAGTGGGGGTCTGCTTGCCTCACAATGGTGTCAGCTACCTCAGAGTGGGGTCTACTCGCCTCAAAGGAAGGTCTGCTGGCCTCATAGGAGGGTCTACTCATCTCACGCTCAGAGTCAACTCACCTCACAGTGGCTCAGCTCGCCTCACAGGAGGGTCTGGTCACCTCATGGAAGGATTTTCTTCCAGGGGCAGATGCTCTTGGGGCCTTGGAGAATCTGGTGCACACCATTAAGAGCCCCAGAGATGCCTGGGATGGGGCAGAATAATTCTAGGGGGCTCCTGGGCACTCACAGGCCAGGCTGGGCGCAGGGTCCCTCAGGGACTGTGTGCTCTGTTGGACAGAAGGTTTGGGCCTGAATCTTAGACAGCATCACCTTGCCCTCCCTTGCACCCGCCCCTGCCTGCCCTTCCGGGATGCAGCTGGAAAGTCTCTGGAGGGGCCGAGAGGCCTGAGGACAAGGGAGTCAACAGGGGGCTGACAGTCCCGCTCGGGAATCCCCCCTGCAGGAACTCTCTGCCCTGGCCTCTGCCCTGGACACTCGCCATGCTGGGGCTAGTGGGTGCCATGGGGGCCCTGAAAGCTCCAAACAATCCCCCTCCCTTGAAACAAAAATTCTCCCCAGAGCAAACATGTTCTTCCTCAGGAAGCTGGTGCCCTCTGGGAATGGGATCAGCTTTTCAGGGAGATTAAGTTAATCTCCCCAATGAGGAATGTTTAAAGAAACAGTCACTTTGCTGAGGGAATGTAGGAAGCCTGAGGTTGCCGAACTCCCCCATCACACAGCTACCACGTCCTCCTGTGGTGTAGGCGAGTCTGGAGTCTGACCACGACCGTGTGAAGCGGATTCCAGGCTCCTGAGCCGGGAGGGCCACGGTCCTCAGGATGTTCAGACCAGCTGACACGTTTAGTGCCATTCTGTGGCAGCCAGTCGGTGTGCAGTTAATCCCAAGAAGTGACACTAGTAAAGCCTTCACTGTGTTACTACCATCATTGTTATTTGAACCAGAGTGGCGGTGCTCAGGGCTCACTGCTGGCGGTGCTCAGGGACCCTCTGCAGGGCCGGGGGTTGAGCCCTGGGTGGGCTGCAGGCCAGGCAAGCGCTTAACCCTTAGTGCAACTCTGGGCCCCCGCAGTCTTCATTTCCAATTGCAGTTTCCCGCACGGGCAGCGCCCTCGGAGGAGTCGACTAACTGATGCCCTTTGTGGGTCTCTTCCAGGCAGACACGACACTGCCGGCGCAAGGCTCCTGCAATCTTATCAGAGGCTGAGGTGAGGCTGGAAGGACGGCGAGTCCCGGCCCTGCCCTGAGCGGCTCAAAGGGCGCCCTGAAACCTCTCCACGGCCCTGTCAGAGCTTCGGAATGCAGGCGTGTGGCCGCCCTCACCGACCTCTCTGGGCCTCCCTCTGTGCACGTCTCTGTCCCTCTCTGGTTCTCATCCCGTCTCTCTTCATTTCTCTGTCGCTCTGTCTTTGTCTCTCTCGGCCTCTCTCTGTCTGTCACTGTTTCTGTCTCTCTGCATCTGTTTCTATTCTCTCTCTCTGTCTCCCTCACGATAAAGTGCTCGCGGAGATGCAGCCTCGAGGGCCAGCACAGTCCCTGTGGCCACGCTAAGTGTCCTCACTGTGACTGGTTTCTCCGACGAATCCTGTGCACCTGCAGCACCCGGGGGCGGGCCCCGGCCTGGGTGGGGGTTGCGCGTGGGGCGGGCACAGGAGGCACTTCACGTGGGCTAATGGCCCTTGAGAGGAGAGCCTCATCTCATGGTCCCAAGCAAGGCCAGAGCCCCCCACCACAGCCCACTGAGCGAATCCACTCAGGCCCCCTGGAAACCAGGGCAGCTGTGCGGAAAGCAGCCAAGAGGGTCGCGAGATCATTTCTTCGGGGGCCTGCGTCTCTCAGCCCCGGGAGACTTTCCCAGTCTCCCTTTTCATTGCTCCCTTCTTTCCACCAAGCCCCCCAAGCCCACCCCCAGGCAGATGGGTGCACTACAGTGGCTTCAAGTGCCAACACATGGACGGCTCCCTCAAGTCTGGCCCGGCGCTGGCCCGGCTCTTCTAGAACATGCTGGGGGCATGGGCGTGGGGTAGGAACTGGCTAAGGGTGTGAGGCAGAGGCTGGACATGGGTGTGAGGTGGGAACTGACCGTGGGCATGAGGTGGAAGCTGGCCATGGGTGTGAAGTGGCAACTGGCCAAGGATATGAGGCAGAAACTGGACATGGGTGTGAAGTGGGAACTGGCTATGGGTGTGAGGCAGGAACTGGCCATGAGTGTGAGGGGGGAGCTGGCCACAGGCGTGAGGCAGGAACTAGCCATGGGTGTGAGGTGGGAGCTGGTCATGGGTGAGAGGCGGGAGCTGGCCACAGGCATGAGGCAGGAACTAGCCATGGGTGTGAGGTGGGAGCTGGCCATGGGTGTGAGGTGGGAACTGGCCATGGGTGTGAGGCAGGAACTGGCCATGGGTGTGAGGCGGGAACTGGCCATGGGTATGAGGTGGGAATTGGCCATGGGTGTGAGGCAGGAGTTGGCCACAGGAGTGAGGCAGGAGTTGGCCATGGGTGTGGGGTGGGAATTGGCCATGGGCATGAGGTGGGAACTGCCATGGGTGTGAGGTGGGAACTGGCCAAGGGTGTAAGGCAGGAACTGGCCATGGGTGTGAGAGAGGAACTGGCCATGGGTGTGAGGCGGGAGCTGGCCATGGGTATGAGGTGGGAACTGACCAAGGGTGTGAGGCAGGAACTGGCCATGGGTGTGAGGCGGGAACTGGCCATGGGTGTGAGGCGGGAACTGGCCAAGGTTGTGAGGCAGGAACTGGTCATGGGTGTGAGGTGGGAGTTGGCCACAGGCGTGAGGCAGGAGTTGGCTATGGGTGTGGGGTGGGAACTGGCCATGGCTGTGAGGTGGGAATTGGCCAAGGGTGTGAGGCAGGAACTGGTTATGGGTGTGAGGTAGGAACTGGCCATGGGTGTGAGGTGGGAGCTGGCCACAGGTGTGAGGCAGGAACTAGCCATGGGTGTGAGGTGGGAGCTGGCGGTCCCCTGAGCCGAGCCCCCGCTAAAGTGAGGGTGTTGGAGAGGACACAGGCAGGGCGGGCGGAAGCTGGCATAGGTTGGCACATGCCTTGCCTGCGGGGAACTGGGGTTTGCTCCCCAGCATGTGCCCCCCACACAGCACGGCCCCTCAGCCCTCACTCACACCCCCTTGGACTCAGCACTGGTTGAGAAACGCCTGGAGTCCCCCCGGAGCCCTAAGTGTGTTGGGGGCCCGGCCCTCGCAGCAGGAAGGCGAGAGCAGCCCCCACTCACGGCCCCCGGGTCTCTTCCCAGCAGCAGCATCTCCGTGGTGCCCCCCACGCCGCCTCCGCTCAGTGAGAGCCAGTGCAGCGGCCCCGGCCAGGTATGTGCATCCCAAGTCCCCAGGGAGGCCCGGAGGGGGCAGGGAGGCCTGAGGGTCCGAGGTCTAAGGGTCTTGAGGGCCAAGGACAGTCTCCCCTACCTCACCGGCCCATGCTCCCCTGTCTTAACTCCTTCACTCACAGGCTGTTTTCCCTGACAGGCACCGTGCATGTGAGACTGTGTTAGTGTATGTGAGTGTGTGTTTGTATGTGAGTGTGTGTGTACGAGTGTGTGTGAGAATGTATGGGCATGTACGGGTAGGTCATGTGTGTGAGTGTGTGTGAGTTTGTGAGTATGAGTGTGTATGAGTTATGTGTGTGAGGGAGGGTCTGGGTAGGCCATGCATGTGAGTGTGTGTGTGAGTGTGTGGGTGCGTGGATAGGACATGTGTATACGTGAGTGTGTGTATGAGGGAGGGTCTGGATAAGCAATGTGTGTGAGTGTGTGTGTTTGTTGTCTAGAGAGGCTATGTGCATGTGAGTATATGTGAGTGTGTGTGAGTGAGGATCTGGATAGGCTCTGTGTGAATGTGAGTGTGTCTATATAGAACATGTATGTGAATGTGTGTGTGTGTCTGGATAGATCGTGTGTGTGTGTAAGGGTGTGAGCGAGGGTCTGGGTAGACTGTGCATGAAGGTTTGGATAGACTGGTATAGAGAGGGGTCCCGGATAGTCTGTGTGAGTGTGTGGGTCTGCAAAGCCGTGTGAGTGTGAGGTGGTTCTGGCTGGGGTGTGCACATGTGTGGTGTGTGGAGTATGGGTAGGTTGTCTGTGTATATATGTGAGTGTGTGATTGAGTTGGGGGCCTGAGTACACTGTGGGAGGGTCTGGATAGGCCTGTATGTGTGAGGGGGGTTAGTCTGATTCCGTGTGTGTGTGTGTGTGTGTATGTGAGTGTGTGTATCTGAACAGGCTATCAGGCTGCAGTATGTTGTCTGAAGAGAAACAGGTTGACTTTCAGTTCTGTGAACCATAGGTGTGTGTGTGTGTGTGTGTGTGTGTGTGTGTGTGTGTGTGTGTACGTGCACATGCTTGCTAATGTGAAGCAAACCGGGAATCCTGCTGACCCAAGGAATTAGTCAGGCAATCCCTGGAGTTCCTGCCCCCCTCCGCCCCTCGGGAGGTGGAGTGACTGTGGAAATCATCAGGGTGGCCTCCCACGGCTGTTGTAGGAAGTTAATGAAATGTCTGGCTGGTGCTTGGAAACTGTAAAGAGCCAGGAAAATATATGGTCTTGATTATTTCTGTTCCTGCTGTTCTGTGAGTTATGGGGAGTAATTATGTTTGTATACAGGTGGATATTCAGAACTGCTGCTAGGAGAGAAAATTTGTGCATTCTTTTGCCAATTTCAAAGGGAAACCCCAGAATGACCTTCAGAAGTTTGCTCTACCTCCAGAGCTGTTAAACTCTCCACTGTTATTCCGGCACCAAAATACTCAAACCGTACTGATTTTTAAAATTTTTCTTATTGGGTTGTTGTGCATTCCAAAGTTATTTATGATTGAGTTTCAGGTGTATAGTCAAGACGATGAATGGTTTGTGGGTGATGGATGGATGGTTAGGTGGATGGGTGAGTAATTGGATGAATGGTTGGGTGGATGTGTGGGTGGATGGGTGATGGTTGGATATATGGGTAAATAGTTAGATGCATTGTTGGGCTGAGATCTGACTGGATGATGGTTGGGTGGATGGATAAATGGACGGGTGATGAACGATGGATGATGGATGGATGGATGGATGGATAAATGAATGGGTGATGGTTGATGGATAGATGGATGGGTGATGGATGATGGATGGATGAGTGGATGGGTGATGGATGATGGATGATGGATGGATGGATGGATGGATGGATGGATGGGTAGATGGGTGATGGATGATAGATGGATGGATGGATGGATGGGTAGATGGGTGATGGATGATGGATGGATGGATGGATGGGTAGATGGGTGATAGATGATGGATGGATGGATGGACGGATGGATGGGTAGATGGGTGGTAGATGATGCATGATAGATGGATGGATGATGGATGATGGATGGGTGGATGAGTGGATAGGTGGATGGGTGGATGGGTGATGGATGATGGATGATGGATGGATGGATGGGTAGATGGGTGATGGATGATGGATGGATGGATGGATGGATGGATGGATGGGTAGATGGGTGATGGATGATGGATGGGTGGATGGGTGATGGGTGATGGATGGATGGATGGATGGGTAGATGGGTGGTAGATGATGCATGATGGATGGATGGATGATGGATGATGGATGGGTGGATGAGTGGATAGGTGGATGGGTGGATGGGTAATGGATGATGGATGATGGATGGATGGATGGATGAATGGATGGATGGGTAGATGGGTGATGGGTGATGGATGGATGGATAAATGAATGGGTGATGGTTGATGGATAGATGAATGGGTGATGGTTGATGGATAGATGGTTGGGTGATGGATGATGGATGGATGAGTGGATGGGTGATGGATGATGGATGATGGATGGATGGGTAGATGGGTGATGGATGATGGATGGATAGATGGATGGATGGGTAGATGGGTGATAGATGATGGACGATGGATGGATGGATGATGGATGATGGATGGGTGGATGAGTGGATAGGTGGATGGGTGGATGGGTGATGGATGATGGATGATGGATGGATGATGGATGGATGGGTAGATGGGTGATGGATGATGGATGGGTGGATGGGTGAATGGGTGATGGACGATGAATGATGGATGATGGATGATTGATGGATGGATGGGTTATGGATGACAGATGGATGACTCTATGGTTGTAGGGATGAACAGGTTTTATTTTTTCGTTTTGGGGCCACACCCAGCAGTACTCAGGGCTTCCTACTGCACTCCCAGATCACTTCTGGCAAGGCTTTGGGAGCCACATTTGGTGGGGATTGAACCTGGGCCGGCTGTGTACAGGCAAGAGTGCTGGTCACTATCCTAGGCTCTGGCCCTGATAGATGGGTGTATGGAGCGTTGGCTTGGATGGATGGACGGGAATGTATTGGTTGACTAGGTGGATGTATGGAGCTTCCCTTTCTCTTCTCTCTTCTACTTGGCTCCGCCTGGGGTCCTTGTGTCTGGTAAGCCCACCGCCCCCATGTCTTAGGCATTATTACCCAAGGGAAACCTTTCACTGTGGAGACAGTAGGCCATAAGAGAAAGGAGGTCAAGGAAGCAATAATTTACTTGAGTATAATCTTCGAGCAAACGGTGTGTCGGTCATTATTTCTAAGAGGTGGTTGTTATCTGGTTGCCAGATCTGGGGGATGCCCCGTACTCCTCCTTTATGTGGTGTCAGAAGCCAAAGGAGAAAAGCGACGTAAAGAGGTCCACTTCCTCTTGGCCAGACGGTGCCCCCACTTGCTCCCCAAGCCCCCAGCAGACACTGTGACAGACACTGTCCCACATAACTTTCTCTCTCTCTCTCTCTCTCTCTCTCTCTCTCTGTTTTAGTTACAAGAACTTGGTCAGTTTAAAGGATTCAACAAGTCAGTGGAAAACCTGTTTCTGTCTGTCACCACTCACATGAGAAGTAAGTATCTCTGGCTTATTCTCTCCACCGCCCTGCTAAGGTGGTCGGGGCCGCTGCCTCCAGCCCCCACTGCTGGGGGACCCCAGCCCAGTCCTGCTCGACAGCCGATGCTGCATCTCCCCAGCCCTGCCCCAGCCCCCCGGGTTCCTGGGGACAATGATTGGTGCCAAGGACTCTAACCCCAGAAACCTCCGGGCCAGCCTCGTGCCATTGCTAACACCGGCGTGGAATCCCTGGCCTGTTCTCCTTTGCCAGGAAGATTAATTTTCTCCTGTCAGCAATCATCTTGTGTTTGGGGGACACACTGACCCAGAACTGCCCCTGCTTGGAAATCTGGTGTCTGTCCGCTGCCCGGAGCTGACGGACCCCTGGGGAAGCCTGGGAGTCGCTCGGAGATTCTGCTCTGCGCCCGTCTGTCAGTTCCTCCCCTGCTTGAGGATTTCCTGGACTGGGGAGCCTCAGTGTTGGGGTTCGGTTTGGCTTCTGCCGAGCCTGCTTGGGCAGAGTTGGGTGATTGGAGCGCTCTGGGCTCCAGGGGAGGGGGAGAGCGGCCGGCAGTGGGAGGGAGCGGCCTCCCCTCACGGAGCCCGAGGGCCCCAGCACCCCCCTGCTCCCTCTTCCTGTTGGCCTGTCGGGACAGCACCTCTGCCCCGACCCCACTCGGTGCTGTCCTGCTATCCCTCACCCCTGGAACCGTGGGGACACACATCTTGCTCACCTGACACCTGCCTTCTTGCACATGTGTGGGTACAAGGAGGCCCCACGAGTCTCATCTATACATGCACACACAGGATACATACTTACACACACAACACACACGTCACACACACATATGCATCACACGCAAACAGGACACAGACACACACTCGCACACACAACACACAGACATGACAGACACAGCACACACACGGCACACGCACGTAATACACACACTCAAACACATGATACACATGACACATACACATATCATACACACACAACACATATACACAATACACACATCGCACATACATATCACACACAAACATGACTTGGACGTATTACACACATGACACATACACACATACATATCACACTCACAAAGATGACACAGATACACACACATGACACATATAACACACACATGACACACACATACACATGAACACAAACACAACACAGACATATTACACACACATGCACATAGATGACACACACACATATATATCACACACACAAACATGAACAGACACATACACATTATACACACAGGGCACACACACATGCACATACACAACACACACAATATACACATACACATAATCACGTGGCACATACACACGCATCATACACACACACGACACGCACACAGTGTGCGGACATTGGGGGCGTTGGCAGGGCGACCCCCGAGAGCACAGCCCCTTCTCTGCCCTTGATGGATCCCCAGTCTGCACCGGCCCCCTGACGTGAGGCTCGGCAGGTTCAGGACAAAGGGACAGTCCGCCAGGGCCCTTTGGTGGCCGTGGGCTATGGGTTCCGCGGGACAACCTGTGGCCACTGAGACGCTGTCTGTGGGGGGGATCTGTGGCCCCTTGGGCCGGCTCAGGGCGCGTCGGGCACCTGTTTCTCTTGGTGACTTTTGCCACCTGGTCCCTAGAGAAGCATCACCCGGGATGGTGGGGGCAGCTGGAGAGCGGGACACTGACCACTGGCTGCCACGACCCCAGCCCCGGGGGGTTCTCCCGGCCCCTTCCCTGGGCCATGCCACGAGATTTCAGGCCAGGCCACTGCGGGTGAGGGAGGGGCAACCAGGTGTAGTGCACGACCCCTCCTCTCCCCCAGACTGCCAGCCCTGAGCCCCCACCCGGCCCCAGGAGCTTCTCGTGGCCCCCTTAAGGATGTGAGAGGAGGGGCTGGTACTGGCGTGGGGTGAGAGTGGGGCCCTGAGGGGACAGCCCATCTGGGGCTCACCTGCCCTCTCCAGTGGGGACGCCGGGGAACCCTCTGCCGGGGGCTTCCCAGAGCTGGGGTGGGGGGTGCCCCACAGTCTGGCTGGGGAACTTGAAAACAGTGTCGAGGCCCGGCCCAGGAGGAGACGGTTCAACACTGCCCAGGGCGGGGTGGGGGGGGCGCATCAAACGCCCCTGGACTTTGGGGTACAGTCATGGTCTCTGGAGAGACGGGTGAGCCCAGAGATGCCCTGAGCAGCACACTCAGGAGAGCTGGGTACCACCGAGGGCATCTCCAGGGCAGGTCGGGAGACAGGGGTGCCTAGAGGGGCCACATACATGGGGGTGGGGGGGTCGAGGCTGCTACCCAGGAGGGGTGAAGCCCACAGACTCCAGAGGCGGAGCTGGGAAGAGCCAAGCTGGAGCCTGGCGCAGGGCTGCGGGGGAGCAGCTCAGGCAGGGCTCACAGGAGAAGACTGGGGACAAATCAACAGTGCGGGCCAGAAAGGTGGCTCAGGGGTTAGGGCACTTGCCTTGATGTGGTTGACCTGCTGCCATGTAGGGCCCTGCCAGGACTCCCTGAGCACAGAGCCAGGAGTCAGCCCTGAACACGGCTGTGTGCGGCCCACAGATACACACAAACTTGAATTTTGTCTGTTTCTTTTTCACTTCTCTAAACAAGGCTCCTAGGAGGGTTGACCTGATGGCCGTGGTCACCTGCTAGCCCACGAGAGGTCAGGAGTGGCAGGAGACCCCCCAGAGTAGGGAGCAGGTCCGAGGCGGCGGTTTGGGGGCGAGACCGGCTCTGACGGGGTCCTGTCTGGGTGGGGTGGGTCCTTCCTTCTCCTTCACCCCTGGAACTGTCCCACCTCGTACTCCAAACCCAGAGACGAGAGTCCAGGTCTGCAGGATCTGAAGCTTATAGTCGAGGGGTCCCCAAATCCGCTGTCACCTCCCTCCAAGGGCTCCAGAGAGATGGTGGGTGGGAGTCTAAGAACTTGGGTGGGAGTCAGTCGGGCTACTACACGCCCAAGACACAGGCATCAGACACAGAACACCCCTGCCCAGAGCTGCTGTCCTCCTGCCGTCTCCGGGGGTTCTCCTGGTGCACCCCACTCTGCCTTGGACTTGCTGTGCCAGCCCCTCGGGGGTCCCCCTGGGCCTGGGGAGGCTCCACGCCCCAGCAGACACCTACAATCCATGCCCTCATCACCCCTGTGTGTGTTTGTTTTCTAGAACTCTCCAAGTCCCAGAATGACATGACCTCTGAGAAGCATCTTGGAGCCGCCTGCCTGGGGCACAGTGTGGGCACGCCAGAGCGCCGGAGTCAGTCGGACACGGCCATCGCTGCCGCCGCCACCGCCAGGGTACCCACGGCCGCCTGCTGCCACATCCCTCCATAGCTCTGGGCTCAGGGCAGAGCCCGCGGGGGAGTGTGGCCTGTGGGAATGTCATGGGCAGCTCTGGGAGGGAGCCTGGATGGGAGGGTTGTTCCCAGCTGCTGATCTCTAGCGACTGCCCCAGGGAGCTCCTGGCAGGGGCCACGGCCAGGCCAGGGTCCCACAGCCTGGGGGAAGATGGGAGAAGCACACAGAGCGGGACTGCGTGATCCTTATTCTCTGAGCACTGTCCTCTGAGCACCTCAGCCCTGGGAGGGAGCCCTGAGCGCACCCAGGAGTGCCTGACGCCTCCGCCCCCACATGGAACCCGTCTCTGTTTCGGGTCAGACAGTGCAGTGGGTGAGGTGCTCGCCTTGCTTGAGCCCAAGTCCTTGGGCACTGCTAGCTGGGTCTGGTCCTACACTCTCCGGACAGACACGGCCCATTAACCCCAGGGGCCGGGCGTGCGGTGCCCCCTGCTGGAATCTGACAGAGACAGGATGTGGGAATCGCATCCCGTTGGCTCAGGTGGGCCAACCTGCCACTAAGGAGGCCTGTGGGCAAGGCTGCCCATGTCCCCGGGAAGGAGGCTGGGGGCCGCATGGGGGGCCACAGGCTGGCAGGAAGAAGTCGAGTTTGACCCAGAACCCTGGGTGCTGGTCCCCTGATCTAACCTGGTTGTGGACGGTCCTTCTGGGTTGTGGTGGTTTTCTCTGGACAGGCTGCCCTGCTGGGCCTGGGTGCACAGGCTCGGGCTGTCATTCCCGGGGTCCTCTGCTGCCCACTGCCTCAGGCATACCCTTCCTGGGCCAGGAAGGTAGAGGCTACCGATTGGGGGACCCAGGGCTCTTCTGAACCCCCCTAACCGCCACCCGAGACCCCAAGGCCTCCAAATGGCCATGTGGTCATGTCAGGATTATTTCTGGGTGAGCAGTGTTCACACTGGGCCAGACTCGATAGTGGACACGTTTAGCCTCATACCACCCAGGGAGGCGGGTCCACATTTGGTTCCGGGTCACCTGTGGAGGCCCCGGAAGGCCCAACCCTGCCCATGGAGCCAGAGAGTGACTGTGGACAGGCCTGGTCTGGAGGCTGCAGGCTGTGGCCATGTCTGTGTGTGTCTGCGAGTCGCCCGTGCGTGTAGCTTCAAGGTGGGTCCTGGGAGGGAGCATTTGGGAGGCTCTCGGGTGGGCAGGGCTGCAGGGGCCCCCAGCAACCAGGGCACGGGCAATGCAGCTGGGAATCTGGAAATGCCCGAGGGAGCCCCCACTGGCTCCTCAGGGCCAAGTGGCACCATCTGTACCCACAGCCGCGGTGCCCAGGCAGGCAGGGGCCCTGCTTTGGAAGTGCTCCCTCCCCTTGACTTCTCCTCGGGGGCTGAGCCCAGATGCAGGGGGAGTGCGGGTGTCTGAGCACCACCTGGGCACTGGGCACCCCCACACTGGGCAGTGAGGGCCAGGGAAGAGGCCGGCACCCCATGGCTACTCGTGAGCTCTGAGGCCCATGCAGGGCCCTTCCCAAGCAGAGTCCTCGCAGATCTTTGTGGTCCCACCTTTCAAAGAGCCACAGGAAGGGCCAGGGAGATGCCGTGGGCAGTGCTTGCCTCGCTTGTGACCAGCCTGGGTTCAAGCCCCAGTACCACAGATGGTCCCCCAATTCCACCAGGGATCACTCCTGACCACAGAGCCAGAAACAGCCTCTGAGCACCGTAGGGTCTGAGAGAGCCCCAGTCCCGTGAAGGCTGTGCGGCTGCCGTCCCCAGGAAGGACGACACGGGCACAGAGAGGGCCCCGGGTGCTGTGGCTCAGGATGGCACGGCCAGACGGAGCGTCCTGAGCCCTGAAGGAGAGGCGGGGAGGGGGCAGGCCTGTGTGTCCTTGGCACTGGGATGTGTAGTTGCTGCCATGGGAAGTTGAGGCAAGGTAATGCTGATGGTGTCTGTGGACCTGTGGCCTTGTATTACCTGTGGTGGATTCGTGGCACCGTCCCTGCCCTGCTGCTGGCCCAGGGGGTGAGGCTCCACCCCAGACAGCAGGATTCCCAGGGCCTGGCTAAGAACCCATGCCCAAGGATGCCACACTCTCGTGGCCACTGCCACGCTCCTGATGGTGCCACCTTACTTGAGAGGTGGTTGTTCTTCTTTAAAACATTACGAACATGGCTGCGACAGTGTCGGTGTCTGAGGCACAGATGTGGGTGACGGCAGCCCACCCCCGGACGTGGCTACCCTAGGGATCAGCTTAGCCCCTGTTCCTGGGGCACGGGCCGGCCTGGCAGGATCCATAAATGCTATTATAATGACGGGGCGGGCAGAGAGAGCCCTTAAATAGGACATTTGCCTGGCCATGAGCACCCACGCCCTCGCAGGTCAGCGCCAGAGATGACACGCATGACTGCCCTGGGGCCCTAAGGGGCGCCTGGACTACAGGGCTTCCACAGGGGGACACCCTCTTTGCAGGGGCCTGCACCAAGGCCCAGACATGTGGGTGGAGCTCTTAAAGCCACAGGTGGCCGAGAGCTGGGGCCCCTCCCTTGCCGGGTCTCCAGGCACTTCCCCTGAGCTGGTTTCTGAAATGGCTCAAGCAGAGATTACCCCCCACTGCATCCAGTGATGCCCGTGGCTGCCTGGGACTTCCTGGGCCTCTCCCGGGTCTGGTGGCACCTGTCATTAGCCTCATGTGGATGACAAGGGCCCTCGACGATGCAGCAGTTAAGCAGGAAGGACGGGGCAGGGTGCTGAGGGGAGAGGCCCTCCCAGTGGCCAGGGCTCAGACCCCAGCGCGACGGGCAGCCTCCCCGCCCCTTACAGGACCTGCCCGTACCTGCTCCCCTGCCTGCATCACCTCTGAGCTGAGCGGAGGAGGAGGAGGAGGAGGAGGAGGAGGAGGAGGAGGAGGAGGAGGAGGAGGAGGAGGAGGAGGAAGAAGAAGCCACGGGGTCGGACCCTCAGTCCATGGGGACATGCAGCTGGTCCTTCTGCGGGCTGGGCCAGTGGGTGCCTTGTATGTGGGCGGGCCTTGATTTAATCTCTCATGCCACATGTCCTCTGCCCCCCTGAGCACTGCCAGGGAGAGCCCTGAAAGCCCCACCTGCCCTGCCGGCTCCTGGAATCCATCCGTCTCTGTGCCCTCTCTGGCCCTTGTGTCTGCAGCCCCACCCACCGACCCACCTGGCTTGGAGCCCCAGAAATGCCTGGGACTGGGGGCTGCCCTCTCGGCTCCCCTCCCCTGTCCCTGTCACTCTGCAGCAGCCGCCCTTTCCCTCGGTCCTGTGGTCAGGGGGGAGTGGGTGGCTCTGCTATGGAGTGCTCAGGAATGGAGACTCAGGAGGAGGAGGAAGAAGAGGAGGGACAGGGAGGAGGGAGAGAGGAGGAGGAAGGAGGAAGAGGGAAGGAGGAAGAAGGGAGAAAGATGAAGGGGGAGGAGAGAGGGGAGGAGGGGGAGGGGAGGGAGTGATAGTGGGAGGGATGGGGAGGGAGAGGAAGGGATGACCCGGAGGAATCCTTTCTTCCACAGGGCCCCCGGGAGATGGGGCTCACCTCGGGCTGAACATGGGTGTGCAGTGGCGCGGGGTCCCCAGGGCTGCTGCCAGCCCGGTCTCACGCAGAGACCCTCCCGCAACCCTCTCTCTGCCCCGGCGTGGGCCCGTCGCTCCCTACCACATAGCAGCTGGCACTTGAAATGGATTTGATTTGATTCGAGGCTCTGGGAAATTTGATATAGATATAGCCACGTGCGCCCCTGGGGTCCAGGGGTCCAGCCCACAGGAGCAAGGACATTTCATAGAGAACAGGGGGAAGGGTTCTCCCTTTTCTGGACCACACCCCATGGTGCTCAGGGCTCACTCCTGGCTCTGTGCTCAGGGCTCACTCCCAACTCTGCTCAGGGTTCACTCCCCGCTCTGTGCTCAAGGCTGACTCCCAGCTCTGTGCTCAAGGCTGACTCCCGGCTATGTGCTCAGGGCTCACTCCCGACTCTCTGCTCAGGGCTCACTCCCGGTTCTGTGCTCAGAGATCTCTCCCGGCTCTGTGCTCAGGGCTCACTCTTGGTGGTGCTCAGGGCTGACTACGGGCTCTGTGCTCAGAGGTCACTCCTGGTGGTGCTGAGGGGCCCTGTGAGATTCCGGGGACTAACCCCAGGCTGGCCTCATGCAAGGCAATCGCCCTGCCTGCTGCCAATAGCCCTGGTCCCGCTTTTTCTTCTTTTCATGTCCACACCACGGCCAAATCTCTCCCTGGAGTGTGTGTTCTATTTCCTTTGACCAGATGCCAGGGCTCTGATGAAAGCCTGCACGCGATCTTCAACTTCTCTAAGGCCTTTACTCGTCCATAAGGGCCCCAGATGGGCTGGAGTGATAGCACAGCAGTAGGGCGTTTGCCTTGCACGCGGCCAATTGGGGCGACCCGAGTTCGATTCCTCCGCCCCTCTCGGAGAGCCCGGCAAGCTACCGAGAGTATTTGATATGCCAGACACAGTAACAACAAAGTCTCCAATGGAGACGTTACTGGGCCCGCTCGAGCAAATCGATGAACCACGGGAGGACAGTGAAAGGGCCCCAGATATCCCCATTCAATGATGCCTCAGTCCTGACTGTGGCTGTCTGGGGGGCCGGGGGTGTGCGGGCACAGTCACGAGAACCAAGTGTGCCTCTGAGCACCCAGAAGTCGGCACGCTCCTCCGTCAGGCTTTGGGGACTCTCTCTGCCATCCCTCCACGCGCTCTGCCATCGCCGCTACTAACTGTGTGGTTCCTTCCCAGAAGGGCAGCGCGCCGGACCTCCTGAAGCCCCCCGACCCCGAGGGTCCCAGGCGCCCCAGCTGCCCTGCTCTGAAGCTGCATGATCTCCCCCGCGGCCCAGAGCCTGACACTTCGCTCATAGGAAGCTCAAGACATGTGAGTGGCATGGGACGCAGGTCCCGGGGACTGTGGGTGTGGACTGGGGGTCAAGGCGGGAGGTGGCCGGGGTCTGCTGGGCCCTCTATGCTGAGGACAGGGCTGCAGGAAATGTTCCGTCCCCGGGAACTGATTTTTCTTTCTCTCGGGACCTGCCTTTACAACAAAGTCACATGTACACAAGAGTAACCCATCACGGAAGAACTGTGTCTTAGGAGGAAGAGTTTTCCATGCTGAAGTCTCATAGAACTTTCCCTGTGAGTTATTTCTGTGTCCTGCCTCCCCCCTCAGTCAGCCCATATTTGCTGCTCAAATATTTTACAAGTTTAGCGTCAGTGTATGAGACTAAACTCCAGCTCGATTGTTGGTTCAGAATGGGGCAAGGTAGAGGTTGAGATTTAATTTTTTTTTTTTTTTTTGCCTATGGATATTCAGTTATTCCAGCATCATTCAAAAACTGAGAGCTGGAGAGACTGCACAGCAGGTAGGGCGTTTGCCTTGCATGTGGCCGATCCTGGTTCGATTCCCAGCATCCCATATGGTCCCCTGAGCACTGCCAGGAGAAACTCCTGAGTGCAGAGCCAGGAGGAACCCCTGTGCATCACCAGGTGTGACCCTAAGCCCACCAGGAATAATTCCTGAATGCAGGACCCAGGAGTAACCCCTGAGCATTGCTGGCTGTGGCCCCCAAACAGAAGTTCAAATTGGTGCAGAGACATAGTATAGAGGTTGAGGTGCTCACCTGCTCGCCCCAGACCTTGGTTGGACTCTTGGCCCACAAACAGTCCCCGGAGCCCCATGAGGGGTGACTTATTCAGCACAGAGCAAGGAATAAGCCCTGGGCACAGCCAGACGTGGCGTCCAGAACAATTATAGAAAGGCTCTCATTTCCCCCATTGAGATCTGGTTTTGGTGGGACTTGGGGGACCATGTGGGGTGTCGGGGATTGAACACAGGTCAGCCACGTGCAAGGCAAGCACCCGACTCACGGAACTGTCTCTCCAGCACCCACATTGAGTTTTGTGTCTTTCTAGACAACCATTGGCCATACCTGGGGGGTCATTCTTTGGGTTCTTTGATCTGTCTACCCTCAGACAGATCGCGCTGATGGACTTTGTGGGCTGTCGCGTGTCAAGGGTTCGGCCTTGGCCCTGCTTTTGCCAGTTGCTCTGTGATGCTTCCCGGAGTGTGTTTGTAGTGAGGTCAGCTTGTGCCTTCATCTGTTTATTCGGAAACGCTTCACTGAACGTGAACTTGAGCACCTAAGATTGTGGCATATTGGATAAAGGAGCTTTGGGGGCGGCTCAACCCCAGTCAGAGCTTTTAGGTCATTAAATGATGGAGACAGTCACCAAAGCCTGAGCCTCAGTGTCTCAAGGAAACTCACGGCAGCGCTGCTCTTTCCAGAAACTTCTGGCTTGGGGAGCGGCTGAAGGCACCAAACCAGGGGCGGGTGACAGGAAGGACTCAACTGCTAAGCTCAGCCTCTCTGTGCTTTTAGAACATCACCGGGGGGCCTGGGACCATCCCCTCTTCCCCCCTCTCTCCTAGGACACCCCTTCTTTCTCTCTACCCCCCTCCTCCTCTTCTCTTGCCTTTGGGAAACGCTGTTGTGAGGGTGGGTGCTGGGGACTCGCTTGCAGGGGAGACACAGTTTATAGGCAGGTTATCGGGGCAGTTTATATTCTGGGAGTTCGGAAGGGCAGAAGCTCTGCAGAACACATCTCCAGGCTGCTCCAGAACATTCCAACCAAGGGCTGGCCCATGGGAGACACCTCCCAAGGGACCCTCCCAGTCCCCAGCTAGCCCTTGCCTAGACGGCCTTTCAAGCTCTGTGATTGGGGGTCGCTCCTGCTGGTGCTCAGGGGACCATGCAGTGCCAGGGAACAGGCTGGGGTCCCCTGTGCACCAGGCAAACTCCCTGCCGCCGCATTCTCTCGTACGAATGTGTTAAGTATCGCCTAAGGAAATCACAGGAAATTCTCTTGCTCTCCAGAGATTTCTCACATTTTTTTCTAAGACTGTGTAAGTGCTTCTGTCAGACTATCCAATTGTGTAAATATTTATAAATATATTTCAATGATCACAATTTCATTAAAAACACAAACGCTTGGGCCAGAGTGATAGTACAGCAGACAGGGTGTTTGCCTTGCGGTAGCAGACCCTGGTCCGATCCCCAGTATGTTTCCCTGCCTGCCAGGAGTGATCCCTGAGCACAGAGCCAGGAGCAAGCCCTGAGCACAGCTGGGTGAGGCCCAACCCTCCACCCCAAATTTAAGATTAAACACACACACACACACACACACACACACACAGATACAGCTTAGAGATATTTCAAATGGTGGGGGTCCAAGTTGGGGACCTGGACTCAAGCTTCAGCTCTGGGGGGGCCCTGGGCTCTGTAGGATGTGGGGACCAAGCACACCAGCCCATGCCAGGCTGAGCTCTGCTGGGCTCTGCCAGACCCTGAGCACTGTGAGGTGGGGCCCTGTGGAAACAACCGTCCAGCTCAGCACTGATGGGGCGTGGCTGACACTGAACGGGAGGAGGGGCCGGGCATTGGCCACACGGCAAAGATTGGCCTTTGGAGGTGTTCCCTTGCTGGCAACAAGACCTGTCCTCAGAAATTACCTTTCAAAATTATCTTTTTGGCAGGACGGGGTGGGGGGGATGGGGTGGGAGGGCTACTGGGATCAGTGGTGGTGGAAAATGGGCACTGGTGGAGGGATGGGTACCCGATCATTGTATAACTGAAACCCAAGCACAAAAAATCGTAAGTCTACAACTGTACCTCATGGTGTTTCACTAATAATAATTTAAAAAATATATTTTTTAAATTTTTTAAAAAATTTTATTGAATCACCATGAGATACAGTTATAAGCTTTCATGATTGAGTTTCAGTCACACAATGATCAAACACCCCTCCCTCCACCAGTGCACATTCCCCACCACCAATGTCCTCAGTATCCCTCCCCTTCCTTTCCCACCCTCCCCTGCCTCCATGGCAGACAATTTCCCCCATACTCTCTCTGTCTCTACTTTTGGGCATCATGGTTTGCAATACAGTTACTGAGAGGCCATCATGTACGGTCCTTTATCTACTTTCAGCACACATCTCCCATCCCGACCAATCCCTCCAACCTTCATTTTCTTAGCGATCCCTTCTTATTCCAGCTGCCTTCTTCCTCCTCGCCTCTCCCCCTGCCCCGCCCCCCATGAGTCTACTGTCCTTCAGTGTCAGTCTCGTGTTATGTTAGCAAAATTATCTTTCAAGATCCCTGAGTGTAGGTTACCTCAGAGCCAGGAGTAAACCCTGAGCACCACTGGGTATGGTCCCCAAAACAAAATTGAAAACTCCTATTAACGTTTCTTATTTTCCCTTCTGTTTTGTTTCTGTTTTAATATATATAATTTATTATATATATATATATATATATATATATATATATACTCAAAGGAGGGGCCAGAGAGATAGTACAGTGGTTAGAGTACTTTCTTTGCATGCTGCCAATCTGGGTTGAATCTCTGTCATCCCATATGATCCCCTGAGCACTGCCAGGAGTGATTCCTGAGTGCAGAGCCAGGAGTAGCCCCTGAGCATCGCTGGGTGTGGCCCAACCCCTGCCCCCCCAAAATTCCCCAAAGGAATACATTTATGTCAGCATCTGCCCAGAGCTAACATCTTCCATGTGGGGGCACACGTGAACCCCAGCTTGGGGTGGGTGGCACTCAGCAGTAGAGCATGTGCCTGGCAGAGGGGAGGCCTTGGCACCGAAACACACACAACGGGCAGGAGGTAGGAGAGTGGGTAGGAATCACCCCAGAAGTCAAGCTCTGTTGGCCAGGCTGCTTCCGGTACATAACAAATGGTGGCTGTGGCCTGTTGGTGAGGCGCTGGGCCGCTCCTAAGTCAGGAGCCGCTCGAAGCAGGACACAGCGCTCAGGAATGTTTCAACACCCCCCACCCACCTCCCAGTTTCCTGCATATTTCTGAGCTTTTCTGGCCTTGCTCCTTTTTAAGGCGGGTCTGACCACTTCCCATGGGAATGTGCTTGCATTAAAAACACACTCACATCTGGACGAGCAGGTTCCAGAAACATCCCCCTAGTGGGATGATGTTGAGGGGGAGATGAATGATATTTTGGGGGTGTTGAAAGAACTCACACTGCTCCTACCCGCACGGGTGGATTTTTTTCTTTTAAGTTGCTATCGAAGCAGGTAAGTTTCCTGAGTATATGCATGAAGCATGGCTCTCCAACTCAGGCAGTGAACTGACCTATTTGCTAGGGAACACACACACACACACACATGCACACACATGCACACATACACATGCGCACACACACACATACACACATATACACACACATGCACACATGCACGCACACACACATGCACACACAAGCACACACACACACACACACACACACACACACACACACGATAAAGCCACCAGAACCACAGGGATGTAACTGGCCGTAGGAAGAACAGGAGTGAGAGGAGGTCGGGGAGCATCTTGGATCCTGGTTATTTTTCAAACCGAGCTGGGGTGGTCTAGGGATTGGCACCTCTCAGGGATTTATTCACTGTAACGCTCTGTGATGTGTAATTTTGTTTAAGTTTTGGGCCACATCTAGTGGTGCTCAGGGCTTACTCCTGGCGGGGCTCAGGGGAACCATGATATGTTCCCTTTAAAAAGACCTTTTGCACTTAAAGGAAACGGAAAAATAGGAGAAGGAAAGAAGGGGGCGGGGGGGGAGAGAGAGAGAGAGAGAGAGAGAGAGAGAGAGAATGCTCAAAGGACCAGCACTCACAGCACTCAGGCTCTGTGTGTGGGAAGCCCAAGTTTACCCCCCCCCACCTGTCTCCTGAGCACTGCTGGGAGCACTCCCTACACAGCGCTGAGTCTGAAGTAGCCCCTAGGTGCGCTGAATGTGGCCCCAAAACAAAGGAGAGGAGGAACAGAGAAAATGATTCTTTCCCTTGGAAAGTGCAGCCATACTGTGTGGTATCCTCAAAGGAGACAGATTGACCTGCAGCGGCGTGTCCTGTGTACAGAGGAAGCTTCCTCGGGGCACCAAGCCTTACACTCAGGGGCCCCTTTGCCTGGCAGCGACCGTGGAAGCAGACCCGCCTTAGGGACACGGCATCAGGGGCTGCTCTGCCTGGCTAAGACGCTGCGGCCCCTCTCTCCCCAGACCCCTGCCTCTCTCCCTGGGACCTTCTTTCCAGGGGCAGGATTGGGATGGTAGAGCCGGGCCTGAGGCCGTCTCCTAGCTCGCCACTCTCGAAGAACACCAAGTTGTGAGTCATCGTTGGCCCCGAAGTGATCTGGGCTGGTCACCGGGCGGAGTCACTCTCTTTGGTCACCCGCTGGAGTCGCTCTCCTTGTGTCGTCGTGGGCTGAGACTGACTTTTCTCCCGAGTTGAAAGCAACGACAGTGCAGGTGCCCGGGAGGACCCGGGTCATCGGGGAGGAATGTGGCTGCTCCCACGTTATCGGGGGCATCTCTCCCGGGAGTAGCGGCAGGACTTGGTGGCCACTTGACGGCCCCCGTGTCGGCGTGGACTCCGGCTGCTGTGGCCTCTCCGTGTCTGCTTACAAAGCAGGACGTGAGTGACCGCAGGCCATGCGAGGGCCGCCCTGCCCAGGCATGTGCGGGGAGCCTGCGGCCACGTTCTCGTGACCTGCTGGGGCCACCGGACAGTGGGCCCCGTGGCCGCAGGGCAGGACAGGGCTTCGTCTGTTCCATTGCACCCCTTGTGCCTGAGGGGCTCTCTCAGCCAGCAGCAGGCACAGGAATCTGGGGGCCCCACTTACCCAGGGGTCCCGGGTGAGAGGGAGACGGGGGTTGCATCTTCCTTGAGGGAACGTATCTTGCTTCCGTCACACTGGGCGGGGCGAATGCTTCTCACTGATGGATGGATTATTGAGGTGACACAGTTTACATTAGTGTTAATGTTTATGCTCTGGGCACACAATGGCTGTACCACACCCAGCGCCCGAGGCCCCGTATCTCCCCACCCCAGTGCCCAGCCCTCCTCACGCACCCCTCCCCTGCACCCTGCCTGCCTCCCAAACCCCAGACCCGCTGACCTCCGTTCCGAGGGTCGCGTCTAAGGCTTTGTATTGAATGGGGGCGGTTTCCGGTCTGTCGCTTTGTCTCTTTAGAGCCCGTCGAGGAGTGACGTCACCCGGGTTAGACTTTTCCCCCCTGACTTACTTCCCCTCGGGCTCGCTCCATCCCCGTGGGACACAGGGCAAAGTTCCTTCTTCTCTCGAGGCCAGCTTCTTCTCTCAGGGGGCACCTCTGCTGAAAGCGTTTCTTAGCTGCTTGGCCCACCAGCACTGCCAGCCCCAACCGGCCTCTTGGCCTCTCTTCCAGCCCCACAGGGGATGCAGAAGGACACCCCTCTCCTTCCTGGACCCGCTTCCTGTCACAGGAGTGCCCCTGACTGACCTGGCGCTCCTGGGCCATTTTGAGCCTCAGTTTCCCCTTCGCGGAGAAATGAGTGTGACATAAGGGAGCCGGGCTCCGCCCTTGTGCAGCCCCCCCAAGGAACAGCCCGGAGTCAGGGGGCCCGTCAGCACCCCATTACCCCCACCCCATCCCTACGGCAGCAACTTCTCTCCTCACTCTGTCTCTTGCGTGTTCACACCCCTGGATTTAAAAATGGGGTTACTCTCTCACCCAGGGGGGGAGGGGGTGGCTGTGTCTGTTCTTATGGGGCTGGAGGAGTGGGAGTGGGCGTTTGTGACCTTCACTCAGCCCGGGGACCGCTGCTGGGATCGTTCTTTTTCTCTTCTCTCTCCTTCCTCCCGCTCTCTCCCCATCCTCTCTGTCTCTCTCACTCTCACTCTCTGTCTCTGTCTCTATCTCTGCCTCTGAATGGCACTGGGTTTCCCTTTCCCTCCGACTCCGGGCAGATTTCCCAGGCTAGTTCATGTCTTTGAGGCCGCACCCCCCCCCCCCCACCCGTGCTCGTACCCCTTTGTCCTCTCGCCAGCAACCAGGGTTCTTGCTTCCAGTGAGATTGTGTTTTCTTGCACATTTCTGGCTTAGTTTCTGAAACTTTGTCCATTTTCTCACCATCACCCCGGGACTCAGAGGTTCGTTTTTCCATCTCTGTTTGACACGGTTGATCGTTCGCTGTGTCGAGTCTCCCAGACCCACCCTGGGGACCCCAGTCCCAGTGCCCAGTCCTCAGCATTCCCTCCTTCTGCCTGGATGCTGCTTGCCTTCTGGAGACTTCTGTCCGATACAGACCCAGGCACTAAGTCACTGTGGGGCAGAGGAGAGTGCCACCCCGAGTGTGGGCAGGGAAGAGTGCCGCCCTGTCACTGGGCAGAGGAGAGTGTCACCCCGACATTGGGCAGAGGAGAGTGCCACCCTGACTGCAAGGTCCATGGGACCTTCAGGGATGCCCTCACTTCCGCCAGGCAGAGCAAGGTGGCAGCTGACTTCGCAAGCTGCAGTGCTCCGTCAGTGCTGCCTGAGGGGGCATCGTGCATGCCATGAATTTGAGCTTCTTTGGCATCTTAAAAACAGAACTGCAAACACACAAACACAAAAAGCTGCACCAAAAACAAAGCTAAACAAAACCCAACCCGCTAAACTACCTGTGAAACACTTCGCTCTCTTGTTCTTGGTTTCAGGGGAGTTTAATCAGCATCAACAGCACCTGTACAGAGATGGGGAATTTTGACAACGCTAATGTCACCGGAGAGATTGAATTTGCCCTTCGTTACTGCTTCGAAACTCACTCTTTAGAAGTCTGTATCAAGGCCTGCAAGAACCTTGCCTATGGGGAGGAAAAGAAGAAAAAATGCAATCCGTAAGTTTCTAAATCTTGACACCAGTGATGGATTTATTGGTTCCGAGACCTAGGTGGAGAAATACAGACCCAAGAATGAGCAAAGCCACAGGAAGCAATGAAGAACCGAAAGTGTCTTAGGAACAACTAAGTGGTAGTGATCCCAGACGAGCAGGGGTAAGGTGATTCCAGCAGTGAGACAGGGGTGAGGTGATTGCAACAGTGAGGCAGGGGTGAGGTGATTGCAACAGCGAGGCAGGGCTGAGGTGATGCCAACAACAAGTAGGGGTGAGGTGATTCCAACACTGATGCAGGGGTGAGGTGATTGCAACAGTGGGCAGGGGTGAGGTGATTCCAACAACAAGCAGGGATGAGGTGATTCCAGCAGTGAGGCAGGGGTGAGGTGATTCCAACAACAAGGAGGGGTGAGGTGATTCCAACAGCAATGCAGGGGTGAGGCGATTGTAACAATGGGCAGGGGTAAAGTGATTGCAACAGCGAGGCAGGGGTGAGGTGGTGCCAACAACAAGTAGTGGTTGAGGTGATTCCAACATTGATGCAGGAGTGAGGTGATTGCAACAGTGGGCAGGGGTGAGGTGATGCCAACAACAAGTAGGGGTGAGGTGATTCCAACATTGATGCAGGGGTGAGGTGATTCCAACAACAAGCAGGGGTGAGGTGATTCCAACAACAAGCAGGGATGAGGTGATTGCAACAGTGAGGCAGGGGTGAGGTGATTCCAACACTGATGCAGGGGTGAGGTGATTGCAACAGTGGGCAGGGGTGAGGTGATTCCAACAACAAGCAGGGATGAGGTGATTCCAGCAGTGAGGCAGGGGTGAGGTGATTCCAACAACAAGGAGGGGTGAGGTGATTCCAACAGCAATGCAGGGGTGAGGCGATTGCAACAATGGGCAGGGGTAAAGTGATTGCAACAGCGAGGCAGGGGTGAGGTGGTGCCAACAACAAGTAGTGGTTGAGGTGATTCCAACATTGATGCAGGGGTGAGGTGATTCCAACAACAAGCAGGGGTGAGGTGATTCCAACAACAAGCAGGGATGAGGTGATTGCAACAGTGAGGCAGGGGTGAGGTGATTCCAGCAGTGAGACAGGGGTGAGGCTGCGCAAGCAGCTTTGCAGAGAAGAATCAAAAGCCCAGACTCAGACCAACACACACACTTAGTTGAGTGGTCCAGAAGCACAGACTAATGCCAAGACAAGGATAGAAAGAGGAAAATGCCAAGTCTGGGGCCTGGGAGATAATACAGTGACTCTGTGCAGAGCTGAGCACACACCTGGCCCAGGTTCGATTCCTGGCACTCCGTGGTCCTCTGAGCATCGCCAGGGCCAGCCCCGGAGGCCTCCGGCACTGCGGGGCCCGAGCAGCACCAGCTCTTGCTTTGCCTGAGAACTGCTGGCAGGGCCCCTGGACCTCCTGAGCACTGCTTAGGAGCACCCCCCAAACCTGAAATCAATGATGTAAGAAACTTTTGAGAAAAATGAAGTGTGGGTTCTATTATGTAGACCTATAAAGGGAGAAAGAGCGAATGAGAGCGAGCATAAATGGTCGTATCAGGAATGAAGGAAGAGACAGACTTCTCTACGGAAAGTCGATTCTAAAGAGCAGGAAGGGAAGCGTGAAGCCGACACTGAACAACTGAGACGAAGGTTCCCTGAGGGATCGAGCTAGCTCAGGGCGGGAGCACAGGCTTTGCACACTGGGGGCCTGCACTAGGTCCCTGAGTGTAGCCAGGAGAGACTCTGGAGCACTGAGCCAGTGTGGCCCCAAACAAGAGCAAAGACAGAAAATAGGGGTCACAGCAATAATATAGAAGCGGGGCGCTTCCTTGCATGCTGCCGACCTGGTTCACTCCTCAGCGTATTCTTTGTGCCCCCCCAAGTCTGCCAGGATTAATCCCTGATTGCAGAGCCAGGAGTAGTGAGCCCTGAGCACTCCCGGTGTGCCCCAAACACACACATGCACACACACACACATACACACACACAAACACACACACACACGTGCAACTGCCTGGCTTATGTGAGGTCCCATACCTGGTTCTGCAGACCCCCACCCAGCAGCACCCGGGGCGGTTCTGGTGGCCCCCACTCCCCCCAGTAATGATGAAGCAGCAAGGATAGTGGAAGTGCTGGTCTGCAGATGCGGGCACTGCTGCTAGGTGTCTGCATGACACGGGGCTGTGTGTCCTGCCACGGAAGCTCTGGACCCTGGAGCTGGCCCAGGCCCAGACCTGGTCAGCCCCGTGCAAAGCAAATGTCCTCCTAGTGTACAGTCACTCAGGCTCCCGGAAGCTCCTTCCTGCTTTATTCCTGTGTGGTCGCTGTTGGGCCAGGGCCAGTCAGTGACCAGTGAGGAACCGGAGGCCGTGAGTCAAGCAGTTTCCAGAAGTCTTGACCGGAAGGAGAAGGAGGCCGAGGCCGAAGGTTCCTGGGCATGTGGGCACCGTGAGCTCTGTGGCTGTTGGGCAGGACCTGGGCAGGGGTCACAGCTACCCAGGATGGGGGAGGAAGGGGAGCCTAGTGGAGGGCCAGCCTAGATCAGGAGAAGGTGCGGGGGGTGTGCCCATGCCCATGACCCCGACCTCAGTGCTCATGAGAGAGGCTTTGAGGCTCTAGCAGGGAAGCAAGTGTGAGCAGTGTCTTGGGGGCCTTGGGGAGCACTGAAAGTCAGTAAGGAGGACCCGCGGCCCCGGCTCCCAGCTCGGGAGACCTGAGTGTGGCCCCCGCCCAGCTGGGGCCCGGGAGGCAGTCTCCAGCATGGCACCAGGAGACCTGGGCTCGCACCCCAGGAGCTTCCCAGAGGACCACCAAGGCGTGTCACCATCCCCCTCAACCACGCCCAGGAAGTGCTGTCCGGGTCCCTCCTGCCACCCACCCTCCCCTCTTGTGTCCCCCCAGGTACGTGAAGACCTACTTGCTGCCCGACAGGTCCTCGCAGGGAAAGCGCAAGACCCGGGTCCAGAGGAACACGGTGAACCCCGCCTTCCAGGAGTCCCTGCAGGTACTGGCCATGGGAGCCCTGGGCCGTCCCCCACCCCCGCTGGACCCTGGCCAGAGTCCAGTGCCCGGACTCTTGAGTCAGTGAAATCCAGGCACAGATGCCCTCGAGGTCCACGGTGTGGCCAATGAGTGCCTGGGAAGTGGATGTCCACTGTGGTGTGTCCAGTGGGAGGGTAGAGTCCGAGGGCCCAGCAGGGCGGGTGAATGATTCCCCACCCCAGTGGGGCCACCCAGGGGCTTGCATGGGGGGGTGCCCAGGGAGCTGTGCATAGAACGATCCCCTGTCCCCCAGCTTCCCAGTCCCCAATGCTCCCCGGCCTCAACAGCTGGCAAAACCAGGTGGCATGTTGTTTGATGAAAAAGCATTGTTCACTTTATAGGAGTATTTTTAAAAAAATTTTTATTAGTGAAACACCATGAGGTACAGTTGTAGACTAACACATTTTTGTGCTTGGGTTTCAGTTATACAATGATCGAGTCCCCATCTCTCCACCAGTGCCCATTCTCCACCACCACCAGTCCCAGTATCCCTCCCACCCCCATCCCCCCCGGCCCACCCTGCCTCTGTGGCAGGGCATTCCCTTTTGTTATCTCTCTGTAGGAGTACTTTTTAGAGAACGCTAAGAAGCCCTAAGAAGTAGGATGGGGGGATCCGGGGTGGGGGGTGTCGGAGTGCGGTGTGGCCGGCACCTGGTGCCTGGAGGCGGGGAGAGGTGACCAGATGCTGAGGGCTGTGCATCAGGGAGGAGACGGGATGGCACTGGGGGAGGCCACGTTGGGCAGGAGCACAGAGGGGCCGGCCTGTTCGCACGTAGCCGATAGCGGGCAGAGTCTCTGCACCCGCCCGGCTTTTCCTGCTCCCTGAGCGAGCTCTGGGGGTCCTTCCTCACCTTTGGGAGAACCGAGACTCTGAGATGACTATTTTTATTTCATTTAATTTATTTGGGCTGGAGCCATAGCACAGCGGGTAGGGCGTTTGCCTTGCACGTGGTTGACCCAGTTTTGATTCCTCCGCCCCTCTCGGAGAGCCTGGCAAGCTACTGAGAGTGTCCCACCCGCAGGGCAAAGCCTGGCAAGCTCCCCGAGACATTATTCAAAATGCCAAAAACAGAAACAAACAACAAATCTCTCAATGGAGATGTGACTGGTGGCCGCTCTGGAGCAAATCCATGAACAATGGGAGGACAGTGCTCCAGCTTATTTATGTGTTTTTTGAGTCACCGTGAGATACAGAGTTACAAAGCTGATCATGGTTGGGTTTCAGTCATTTCTTGTTCCAACACCCGACCCTCCTCCAGTGCACATTTCCCAGCACCAGTGACCCCAGGTGCCCTCCTGCCGCCCACCCCCGTCTGCCTCTATGACAGGGGCTTTCCTTCTCTCTTCCTTTCCCTCCCTCTCCCTCCCTCCCTCTCTCTGTCTCTCTCTCTCCCTCCCTTGCTCCCTTCCTCCCCCTTTTCTCTCTTTCCTACCCTCCCACTCTCTCTCTCCCCCTCTCTCTCCTTCCCTTCCTCCCCCTCTTCTCTCTCTCCCATCCTCCCTCCCCCCCCTCTTCTCTCTTTCTCTCCCTCCCTCCCTGTCTCTGTCTCTGTCTCTGTCTCTTTCTCTGTCTCTCTCTGTCTCTGTCTCTCTCTCTCTCTCTCTTCCCCCTGTGGGACGTTATGGAGAAACACAGTTTTGATTTGGTTTTGGAGTTATGCCCGACTCTGCTCAGGGATCACTCCAGGTGGGGGGTGGGGGGTGGGGGACTCCACATGGTGCCACTGGGGAGCAAACGGGGCCAGTGACACACCAAGTGCCCGACCTGCTGCACCGTCTCTCCAAAGCAGAACAGTTCTCAGTGTCCGGGACTTCGCCGTCCCCGCTGAAAGTCTGTGGCTACCTGTCTCCTGATGTGGTTTGGCTGCCGTGGACGGGGCCGTTGTAGGCACAAACCACTGGCACGGTCTTCAAAGGCTCTGGCACGTTTTGGCAAAAAAATTTTTTCTTGGGGAGCACACCTGGTGCTCAGGATTTACTCCTGCTCTGGATCAGAAATTACCTCTGGCAGTGCTCGGGGGACTAGATGGGACGTCGGGATCAAACCTGGGTTGGCCACGTGCAAGGGGAAGGCCCTCGGCACGGTGCTATGGCTCCAGCTCCAACTTGCTGGAAGAATTTGAGAAGCCACACCCCCTCGCACGTTTTTGTCAGGGGTGGTGCCGTTGACAGAACCCCGTGTTCCTTCCAGGCACTGTGTATATTGTGGAATGGTGCCTCTCATTAACATCTGTTATCCATACAGTCACACATTTCTCTGTGTGGAACCTTAGACACACAGTTTAGAGATTAAATTGGCCTCTGAAATGGCTTATCAGACGTTTAACGAAGCCCTTTTTTTTCCCACAGAGAGGCAGGCACTTAAGTTTTATGGAATAAAACAGAGACAAGAATTCACTATGCAAGGGAAATACTTGATTTGAATGTTCAAGCATAAGCTGTCTCTGTCTGTCTGTTTGTTCCCATTTAGAATGCGCACAGAATTTCGAAGGGATCACCTGAGATTCTTCTCCATAGCTTTTCTCTAACATATTTTGAGTATTTGTGGGGGGTTGGGGGGACTTACATGAGATCAACGTTGTTGACATAGCTGAAGGGTGCGGTACCTGCCCTGCCCATACCTTCTCCTTCACAGACCTCACAGAAGGCGGGAGAGAGGAGATGGAGAAGCCAGAGTGATCATTAAGCATTCTGGGCTGGGAGGCCAGAGCGATAGTCCAGCCGGGACGGCATTTGCCTTTCACAGGCCGACCCGAGTTCGATCCCTACCATCCCATATGATCCTCCAAGCACTGCCCGGAGTGATTCCTGAGCGCAGAGTCATTGCTGGGTGTGACCCAAAAAGAAAAAAAAAAATTCTGGGCTGGGGTGGGCCACGGGTGATCCTACTCAGGTAAAGGGCTTGTAGGCCTGCAGCTGATCGGGTTTGAGCCCTGGACTAGAGATAGGACAGTGGGTCAGGTGATTCCTTGCAGTGACCAACCCCGTTTGGCTCCCAGAGCACTGTCAGGGGTCACTCTCGAGCCAGGAACAGCCCCTGAGCACTGCTGGGCATGGCCTCACCCCAGCAAGGCTCCTGTACTGCCAGCATTTCCCATTTCACATGTGGAAGGCACACGGGCCGTCTGTACACCTGGGGAAGGTACCAGGTGAGATTCCAGAACCATCTTGTGCCGCTTCTGAGAGAAGGCCAAGCTGAAGTTCTAGAAACAACCTTTCACGTTTCCTGAGCAACACGCTCTTGGGATATTTGCATCCTACTTGAAAAATATTCTGAGGGGGGGTTTGGTGCTGGGGTTGGGGAGGTGAGGTCTGGGTGGGCTGGGTGAGACTCTGTCTATCAAGGACTCGGCATGGATGGTGCCAACCCAAAGCCCAAGGCAGGGCCTGGAGTGGTGGAAACAGGACTTGTCCCTGAGTGGGCAGGAATCACTGGGTCTTGCAGAGTCGCCCACAGACAGACCGCAGGAAAGTTGCAAAGTGATCCTGGATGTGGGGGTACCGGGGCACCCCAGAGACCATCTGACGGGGCTTAGCTGACCGGGCATGTGGCCAAGACGGTGGATTTAGAATGAAAGACGGAGGGAGGAAGCAGGGTGGATTCAGGCATGAGCACCTAAAAAACCCACTGAGGCCACATGACAACGTGGGACCCTATGGCAGGTGTCATCCTGGTGGGGGCCACGGGCCCCCTGCATGTCTGGAGACAGTGTTAGGGGATGTCTGAGGAGCAGAGCCAGCCCAGGGCTGCCTGCCAAGCCCCCCAGCCTGTTTAGAACCCCTGACCTTCCCGCTGGGAGATAGGAAGGAGCAGGCCCTGGACTCGAACCCGAGCAAGCAGGACTGGGGCAGCCTTGACAGCCGCCTTGGCCCAGCCTCAGTTTCCCCACTAGTACGGTGGGGCCTGACCACCCGCTCTCCTGAAGCAGCTGCTGAAGGGCAGAGAGTCTGAGGGCAGAGGGGTCTGTAACTTGTCACCATGAGCAGGGACGAGAGGCTGAGGCTCCGCTGTGTCCCTGAATGTGGCCTGGCCGGTGGGTCTTATGCACACAGTGGCCTCGTCTCTCCGGTGGGGTCAGAGACCCCCGTGGCTTCGAGGAAGGGCGGGGCTGGGGAGCTGTGTTTGCCCACCCATGCAAACAAGGGCCCTAAACTACTTTTTGTACCTTTCGAAGCTCAAATTCTCGCATTCCGCTTGGGCCAAGTGTGGCCGGACACGGTGCTGGCCACACACAGAGCCGAGGGGGGACAGGTCTGCGTGATTTCCAGCAGACCCTCCCCCCTTACTCTCGGAACCTGCGGGGCCCAGCTGACGCCTCCCTCTCCTCCGCAGTACCAGGTGCCGCCGGGCCAGCTGAGCGCCCGGCAGCTGCAGGTGTCCGTGTGGCACCTGGGCACGCTGTCCCGGAGGGTGTTTCTCGGAGAGGTGACCCTTCCCCTGGCCTCGTGGGACTTTGAAGACAGTGCCGCCTGCTCCTTCCGCTGCTACCCGCTCAGGGCCAAGGTGACGTGAGGTCTGGGGTCCCCACGCGGAGCGCACAGGGCCTCTCGGGGCGGGCTGAGCTGGATGGAATCGTCGTGCTCCTGCAGGTGGCCCCGGAAGGGGCGTCCCTGAGCAGGCTCAGGGCTGGGCTTCCCCGGTGGGGTTTGCTATTGTCCAGTGGCCCTCGGTGTCCCCTACCAAGGGGCACCCCGGGTGGCTCTGGAATCTTCTCGGCTGGAGCTCAGGACTCAGCCCCAGCTGCTCACCATCGTGCCCGAGTTTCGGATCCCCAACTGTGGAGAGACCCAGTCCACACACGATCAAGCAGAAGCAGACGAACTTTATTGCTAGCTCAAGCTAGGGTCCGAGTCTCATCCAACGCAGAGGAGCCTTGACAAGGACCCCCAACTCCAAACCACAAGCGGTTTATACAGGGTTCGGAGTTGAGAAGCAAGTTATATCCTGGTCTAATTTTAGCGTCGGCCCGATTACAACAGTGGCCAGCCATTAGGCAATGGTTAGTAACGGTTTCTAAGGAGGGTACAGCGACCCTTCATGACTGGCCAGACCCAACTGCCCAATTCCTTATCTTGGCGCATTGCTCAACTGGGAGTTTACCAGCAACTGCAAGTCCTGTTCCAGGAAACAGAAACTGAGGCCTAGCTAAGAAGTAATGTTGGCTGCAGCCTGTCATGGCATCACACTCACACTCACCCTCACTCTGGCAGGGCAGCGGCGGGGTCGTGTCTGCCGCGGGGAGCATGGGGGTGCCCCGGCCCCAGGGACAGGGGCAGATCAAGCCAGAGCCTGGACGCACAGGGCAGCGAGGGTCCGCATGCTTGGTCCCGGTCCCTCCCCGCTCGGGCTGTGTCCAGGCTTCCTTGATGCCTCTCAGGAAGGTGCCTCGGAGCCCCTTGGGCTTCCTGTGTCCTCTACTGGGTGGGCACCAGGTGGTGGGGCCCAGGAGTCGTCCCTCCCCAACCAGTTCCCACAGGGCTGAGCAGAGCCCAGCAGTTTCCGGGTCCCGCGGCTCCTGCCTCAGTGCTCGTCTCGTACCCAGGCCGAGCCATGTGGAGACAGCTCCGGCCCTGCGAACCACGGGGAACTTGCCGTCCGTGCCAAGCTGGTCCTCCCGGCGTGGCCTGGAAGACCTCCCGGGGCTGACGAAGGTGGGTGAGCTCAGCACGAAGGACCACTGTCACCATGTCACGGCCCCAGAGCCTGACGTGGCGGCAGCGGGGATGGGGGCAGGTTCTGCTTTGGGGCCAGACCTGGTGGGTGGGCGGGGCAGGGAGACTGTGGGGGACGCTCCTCCTGACTCTGGTGCCCAGGAGGGAACCGTCTCTGGCCTCTCACCACCTCTCATGTATTTTTTTGTTTTGTTTTGTTTTGCTTTTTGGGTCACACCCAGCAATGCACAGGAGTTACTTCTGGCTCTGCACTCAGGAATCACTCCTGGCGGTGCTCGGGGGACCACATGGGATGCTGGGAATCGAACCCGAGTTGGCCTCGTGCAAGGCAAACGCCCTACCCGCTGTGCTTTTGCTCCAGCCCAGCCCTCGCGTGTTTAGCAGCTCTAACCAGGAGCCGGGCTCCTCCCTTCACCCCCAGGCCTCTCAGAGGGGAAGGGAGTGACCCCAAGGTCGCTCCCTCTCCCTGGGAAGCAGCCTTGAAGGCCGGGCGCTGGCCTCAGGGGGCCCAGTCCATGCATGTCCTTGGGGGTCTCCCCAGGTTCAGCTCACTGAGTAAACGTGGGTGTGTGGAAAGGCTGGGGTGGGGAGCACGGCGGGGAGGACTCCACCCTCAGGAGCTGCTCCCCCCAGATCTGGATGGGGAAGCTCTGCCCAAGTTCGGTGTTGCCAGGAGGCCTTTGCTGACTCTGGACCCCCGGCATGGGGCTGGGGGCCCCGAGTCCCCCCAAACCGGCCACCACTGGGCTGCCACGTCTCTACCCTGGGCTTCTCTGTGCCACCCCTGCTCATGGTTCCACCCAAGCAGCCTCCTGTCCTCCTCCAGCATTGCCGGGCTGGCCAGGCCTGCGGAGGGTGGGGGAGGGGTGGGCAGTGATGTCACGGGGGGGGGGGCGGGGGGAAGGCATGCTCTCAGGGGCTGGGGGAGTTGCAGTGCGCGTGGAGGGCCAATCTGGTTTCCCTTGCAGAGCCCGACCCATCGGCCCGGGGCGGCCAGCTCTGCTTGGTGGTGCTGGGCGCCAGGAACCTGCCTGCACGCTCCGACGGCACCTTGAACTCCTTCGTGAGGGGGTACGTATGGCCCGTGGCCCGGTGCTGCTCGCTCAGGTCTACGCTGACCCAGGCTTCATGCTCCCTCCAGGGGAGGTGGCGACCGTTTCGAGCTCCTGTCAGCGTCCAGGCAAAACCCAACAAAACGCTGACTTCCAAGAGTTCCTGAGACCGGGTGGGCAGAGGCTGCAGGCCGACGGGAGTCTTCGAGCCCCGGGTGTGGGAGGCAGCATGGCCTGGGAAACGTGCCGCTAGCCCCCCACCTGCACTACTGCTCAGACTCCGGATGCCACAGTGCTCTGGGTGCGAGGGGGGGGTGTCTGTGAGCCCCCCAGACAGTTTTCATGGGGAAGAGTTCAATACAAGGGCCCGTGGGGCGCTGTTGCTGGCTCCTGCCCCCAGGGGTGCTCAGGAGGGCGACTGCAGGCCCAGCTCCCTTCCTGAGCTGCCCACACTTCACAGAGGAAAGCAAACACGTTTTGGGGCACCCTGAGGTGCCAACTCCCTGCTAGAACTGTTCGGGGGAGGGGGGGAAATGGAGCCAGGCCGAGTGGGCTCCCTGCCCCTGTGCCTTGAATGACCGGGATGAGTGAGACCGGGGCTGGTTCAGGGCCCTACTCAGCTCCAGTGGCAGAGGCTGGGGCCACGTGTCCTGGGAGTCTAAGTGGTGGACACACAATCCAGCTGGAAGAAAAATTCGGCCTAAAAATAAAGGGGGGGCTGGAGCGATAGCACAGCGGGTAGGGCGTTTGCCTTGCATGTGGCCAACCCCGGTTCGATTCCCGGCATCCCATAGGGTCCCCTGAGCACTGCCAGGAGTGATTCCTGAGTGCAGAGCCAGGAGGAACCCCGGTGCATTGCCAGATGTGATCCAAAAAGAAAGAAAAAAAAAGAAAAAAGAAAAATTCTACCTGTCCTCAGAGGACCACGGGGCAATGCCACGACTCCCGTCCGTATGCTTGGTGTGTGGCTTCTTCCTCTGCGACCCAGCTGGCAGCTGCCCACGGGGCCGGGGCCACAGGCGCGTGTCATGGGCCTCTCGTTCCACCCACAGCTGCCTTACCCTGCCCGACCAGCAGCGGCTGAGGCTCAAGTCCCCGGTGCTGAGGAAGCAGGCCTGTCCCCAGTGGAAGCACTCCTTCGTGTTCAACGGGCTGACCACCGCCCAGCTGCGGCAGTCCAGCCTGGAGCTTACTGTCTGGGACCAGGCGGCCTTCGGGCTGAGCGACCGCCTGCTGGGACGCGCCAGGCTGGGTTCTAGTAAGTTCTGTGCTGCGCAGCTGTGCGGCTCCCAGGGGGCCCCGTGGACAGGACCCACTGCTCCCGGGGAACTGGGCGCCACAGGTCTAACACGGCAGCTGGTTGGTCGTGCCCCTGAGCAGCTCAACAATCTAAACCAGGCTGGAGTCAGCCGGAGAGCAGGGGCGGATCAGCACGGCCAGGTCCCCTCTGTCCCTGCAGGACTATTGCCTTAAAGGAAAACACGGACTTAACCCACTTGCGGGAGAGGCTGCACTGGGCGGACAGGGTCATCTCTGGGCACGGTCGTGCCCCCGCCCTGCCTGCTGGTCCTCAGCAGAGCTGCCCCAACGCTGTGATTCCTCCCCCACACCTGCCAGGACCCCCGAAGGCCTGCAGAAGACACCTCCTCGGTGCTGGGTTTCGGGTGCTCTCCTATCCGGAAGCCCCTCCTGTGGACACACCTGTCTCCCCCAGTCTGAGCCCCTCCCCCAAAACAAGGCTGAGCATAGACAGTCAGCATCATGTCCAGAAGGACCAACTGCCCAGATGCTGTGTCCTCGTTTTGAAATTAGGAGGATGCCAGTTTGGGGGGCCCCAGTGGTGGGGGCCGATACGGGTACCTGTTCTCGGGGGTGTCACCCTGTGCCTGTTCCGGGGGTCTCCCCCCACCCCTGCCTGTCCTGGGGTCTCTCCTCACCCCCAGGGGTCACCTTGTACCTGTTCCAGGGGTCTCCCAGCACCCCTGCCTGTCCTGGGGTCTCTCCTCACCCCTGGGGGTCACCTTGTACCTGTCCCAGGGGTTTCTTCCCACCCCTGCCTATCCTGGGGGTCTCTATCCACCCCATTCCTGTCCTGGGGGGTCTCACCTCACCCCTGGGGGTTACCACGTACCTGTCCTGGGGGTCTCACCTCACCCTGTACCTGTCATGGTACCTCTCCCCACCCCGTGCCTGTCCTGAGGGAGCCTGACTTTTCTTGATCTTCCTTTTTTAAGACGCAGAGTAAAGGGGTGACCCAAGGGCACCCCCCCTGCTGACTGACCTCTCTTGTCACCGTAGAGGGGGACGCTGCGGGCAGCACGGATGCCGGCTCCCAGCCCAACCTTCAGTGGCACAAAGTTCTTTCCAACCCGAACCTGTGGACCGACATGACCCTCAGCCTGCACTGAAGCGGCAGCGGGGCTGGAAACCCAGGCCAGGAGGGTGCGGGGCACCCCCTGCCCGTGGCAGCCCTGCCTGCACTCTGGCTCCCCCACTCTGCCTCAGGACGGAAGCTGTTCTGGGGGTGCAGCCGCGGGGCAGATCACTGCAGCCGAGAGATACAGCACACATGGTTCCCATAAAGGTTCAGCAGCTCTCGTCTCGCGCGGGGCAGCGCCTCCCGCCCCCCGGCTCCCTGCCAGCTGCCACAGTGGGATTTGAGTGGCCCCCCACCCTGGGCCTGCAAGGGAGACCCGGGCCCCCGCTTGGGGCAGCGTGACCGTGGCTGCTGTTCCACTCGGCCCCGGATCCATTTCCGCGGATGGACCCAGCGTGCCCTCCACATGCCCACAACACTGCACGGACAACGTGTCCATATTCATGAGTTTTATTATTCTGTAAAAGGTAACAAAATATACAGAACAAAATTTTCCCTTTATAAGGCCAATGTTACAAACACATTTTATCTCTCCCGTATAAATACTCCTCTCAATAGATGATCGCTGATTAGGCATCGCTCGCAGCATGAAAGACAAACCAATCCGATCTCTGGGGAGCGGGTGCGGCCAACATGGACCGGGCAGGGTCCCGGTAGGGCATGGGAACAGTGCGTATATGGGTCTAAGAGTGCTTCCGTCCGTCTTCACACTAAATCTCACCCCTCTCCGCCAAAAGAGGTGGATGCTTCCAAGGAATCAATATGAATTAATCTGAACGCATGGTAGACAGCATGAGAAATATGGCACAGAGGACAGGCCACGATGTGGTGATCTTTAATCATCCGAAGCCACCACAGGTGCCAACGTCAAGTCTGACGCGAACTCAGTAGACTTTCTTTCTGGTAGGCCTCTTTCTTTTCTGCTAGGTCCCATTCTTTTCTGGTAGATCCCATTCTTTTCTGGTAGATCCCATTCTTTTCTGGTAGGTCCCTTTGTTTTCTGGTAGATCTCTCTTGTCCGCTAGGTTTCTTTCTTTCTGGTCAGTCAGGATTCAGTTGATCAGGTTCCAAACGCAAAACAGGAAGTGATTCAGTAATAACAATAACAATAATAATAATAATAATAATCAGGCCTGTTTGGCACTCGATACAATTGGGAAAGATAAACCAGGGAGCCTTCAGCGGTCCCCGGCCCCAGAATATTCCCCCTGAAATAACTACTTCTTAAAGGAACTGGAAGGTGAGCGGGGGGTCTAGATCGGGGAACTACGCAGCCGGGCTCCAGTCTGCGCCCACGGCCTCACATGGCCTCGAACTCATCGATGCGCTGCTTGGTGTTGCCCTGCCGGATCTGCCGCAGCGTCTTGTACTTGTCCCGGCCTTGCCGCATGTTCTCGGTGTGGATGATGTCGTTGTGGGTCTTCATGTTCTCGTTTCTGGCCTGGGACAGCTCGCTGCTCAGGGTCTGCCAAGAGGAGCACCAGCAGTGAGGACGGTGGGCAGAGCGCCCGACACACGCGCGCGCACATGCACGCACACACGTCGCACACGTGCGCGCACCCACTCAACCACAGGCATATACTCATGCCGCACATATGCCACGCACCGTGACACACATGCAGCCACTCATGCACCCACTCACGCGACACACACGTGGACACACACGCATACACACGCACACATATGCACCCACTCACCCAACCTGCCACATACACGCACCCACTCCTATGCATGCACTCACGGACCCAGTATCCCACACACATGCAACCACTCACGCACTCACACACCCACTTGTACCGCGCACATGCACGCACACACCCCTGCGCCCGGGCCTGACCTTCAGCTGCCGCTGCACGCGCTCGTTCTTCTCGGCCTCGGTGACCCGCTTCTCCTCGTTGCGGTGGTCCAGGATGCCCTCGCTGGACAGCTCGGCGCTGTAGCCCGTGTACTCCGCGTCGTCCTCCTGCGGGTTCTCCTGCACGTGGAAGTTGACGGGCTCGTAGGAGGCGGGTGGAGGCGGCGGCGGCGCGGTCATCACCAGGTGCAGCTCCTCCTTGGTCTTCACCAGGTCATCCTGAGCCTCCTTGGCCTTGGGGAGCACAGGAGGCGGTTGAGCACAGCTCCCCGTGGCCCCGGAGCCCAGCCCGCTCTCCTGGCCTTGCTCATCAGCTGGTGGGGACCCGAGGTTGGCCGCTAGTGACCCTGCGCAATCTTGGGAGTTGTTTCTAGCCGGTGCTCTGGGCCGTTTTGCACACAACATGGCAGCAGTTAGTGTGTGTGTGTGTGTGTGTGTGTGTGTGTGCATGTGTGTGTGTGTGTGTGTGCATGTGTGTGTGCATGTGTGTATGCTTATGTATGTTATGTGTGTGTGCATGTGTGTGTGTGCATGTGTGTATGCTTATGTATGTTATGTGTGTGTGTGTGTGTATGCATGGGTGTGCACACTAAACCCTAGCGAGCTTTGACCCTCTCTGCCCTCTTTATCTGTGCTCAGGGTGGGTCTGTGAAAGGCCCCAGCCCCTGGGAGAGTGGGCAAGGCTGTCCCTGTGCCTGCCCTGTCCTCTCTGGCCCCGCTGCCTGGGAGCACGGCACCCACATGGGCCTGGACCCCCAATCCTCCCAGCAACTCTCTGGCTTGCCCCCCGCTGCCCACCCAGACTGGGGCTGGGCTCAGTCTGCACCTGTGTCCCCAGCCCAGAAGCTCCCACAGGCCACCTGGGGGTGGGTGGGCAAAGGCCCGGCCGGGAGGCCCTGGAAGGGTCAGGCGGGGGACGGGGGGCGGGGAGCAGGAGGTAGGAAGGCGCTCGGGGAGCAAATCTGAACTGGGCAGCGGCTCTCACTGGAATGGCCACTGCTGACACAGCCTGTTGGGTGCTGGGCCAGGGAGCAGAGCCACACCCGGTCACAAGGCATACCACCCGGTGCGGGGGCCCACCAGTCCCCTCCCTGGACACAAGGGCTCAGTCCACACGCTGCCCCGGGGGCCTGCACTGCACATAGTCAGGGTTAAGGTTCCTGCCGGGGCTGCCCAGCGGGGAAGGACAGTCCAGGGGGTCGCCCAGAGTGGGTGGAAGGGAACAGGGCGCTCTTTGTCCCCTGCTAATCCGACCGCACTCACTGGTGCCCGGGGCAAGCCCATTCCTCCGGGGATTTCTGCCCGGGGGAACAACCGGCCTTGGCAGGATTGCACAAGGGCCAAGCTGCCAGGCGGGCTGCCCCACCACCAGGCTCCCCACCCCCCACCCCGGGAGCTGCCACTTACCCGGTGCTGCCATTCCTCCACCTCATCCTCCTTGCGCCTCCGTGCCTCCTCCAGGAGCGCGATCTTGGCGGTGTACTCGGCCAGCTCGGCAGCCTGTACATGAGAGAGCCAGCCCCTTACTGCCGGGACACCCCCCTACGGCCTGCCTGGGAAGCCCCCCCCACCTCCGGGGATCCCGACCCCCTCCCACGGGCCACCGACACCCGCAGGCTCCCACCAGCTGCTCCTGGCTCTTGATCTGGTCCACCGTCTGCCGCTCCAGCTCCTCCTTGGCACGCAGGGCTTCCATGCGGTCAGCCTCCAGGCGCTCGGCCTCCTCCTGGGCACGTCGCCGCTCCTCCTCCAGCTTCATGGCCCGCTCGATCTGGTCCGAGAGCTCTGCGAGGGAAACCGGGCTGAGCCACAGCTCCCTGGGTGCCAGCAGGTGCCGGTGCCACCCCACACGCGGGGCTTTAAGGGCGCTGCTGGAGTACCGAGTCCCGTCCCACCCCCGGAGTGGGGAGCTTCTGATTCTGCAGAAACCACGTCCACATTCTGAGCTCGCCCGGGGAAGTGGCCTGTGCATGCCCTGGTCTCCTGAGACTGGGCGTGGTTCCCAGGACATCCCCCCTCCAATCCCCCTCTCCAGGGACACGGTGATGAGAGCCCGGCCAAGGCTGCCGTCCCCTGGCCCAGCATGCTCTACAGACCCCAAAATTTCCACGCAAGGTGGTTTTACTTACTGGGGCCATCACCACCCCATCATCCCTCGAGTTCAGTTTATAAGGCATGGCTGGGGGGAAGGGGATTATGCAGCACAGCCCTGCTCCGGGGGGCTGGGGGGAGCCTAGACACACCCCCATGGAAAGCAGGGATGGGGAGGAGAGGGGGAAGGATATCACTGCTGAGCTCAGGACCCAGAAGGCCAAGGGCACTTCCGGTTCGAGCCACCTCCCGCTCTTTGTCCCACTGGGTGCCAGGAGATGCCCTGGGCTGTAGGCACACACGCAGTGCCGGCGTGCATGCGTGGACCCAGCGCTCAGGATCGTGGGCTTCCCCCCCCCCCAGTGCGCATGCGCGGACCCAGCGCTCAGGGACGCAGCCGAGCCTCTCGCACCAGTGCGCATGCGCGGGCCCAGCTCTGGGGGACGTGGCCGCTGAACTCACCTTTCTCAGCTTTCTTGGTTTTCTGCTCGTAGTCCTGGAGCCGCAGCATCAGCTCCTCCTTCTCCCGCAGCATCTGCTCCTTCTCCTTCTCCACAATCTCGCGCCTCTTCTTCTCAGTCTCCAGCATCTGCCTGTGGTCACAGCGGGGTCCTCACTGCCGAGGAGTCCCCCCAGACCCCCTGCCGGCCCCCGCTGACCCTCAGACTCCCGCTGTGAGGTCCAGATCCAAACACGAGGGCAGAGTCCGGCTCGGTGCTTGCCCACACACTCCTCTGCCCGTCAGCCTTTCCCGGGTTCCCGGGAGCATGGGATCGCGCCCCTCACCGCTTGGTCCCCCGAGCAACGCCCCAAAGCAGCATGCCCTCCAAAGAGACCCCAGAACGCTCCATCCGGGCAGCTCCACACTAGGACTGCGTGCTCGGGAGCACTGTGAACCCTGACACCGTCCAGGAGAACATCACAAGTGTGTCCCACCTCTGGGGGCCTGGACCAAGGGCCTGTCAGCACCAACCAGTGCCCGGCGCCCGATCTCTGCCCAGGCAGGGGCAGCTCTGGGGCCCGTCCCTGGCGCGTCCCGGGCCAACCCCCGGCTTACCGCTCCAGCTGCTTCTGGTGCTTCTCCTCGCGGGCCTGGGCCTTCATCTGCTGCACCTCGATGGTGTCGGGCTTCCGGCGGCGCATGTACAGCTCGTGGTTGCCCATGCACAGCTGCAGGATGCGCTTGTTGATGCGCAGGCGGGGGGCGTAGAAGACAAAGTCCTACGGGCAGAGCAGGCCACGCTGAGGCAGGGCCCGGGGGCCCGTCCAGCAAAGGGTCCCCGACCCCGGAGGCAGAGGGTACCAGAGGACACCTGCAACTGGCCCCCGGGTGAGGGCGTAGGTCCCCGGGGTGAGGGTGGAGGTCCCCCGAGCCACGGGAGGTTCAGGCTCCTCATGGACGGCCACGGGCCTCCCCCAAGACCTGTGACCCCTGCTCTCCTCTGGGCGCTGACCCAGCCTGGGGAACTGGCCGGACCGGCCTCTCAGCTCCAGGACTCGGTGCCAAGGCTGCAGCCCAGCACCCTGGAAGGCTACCCCAAGCCCTCACTCGCCTGCCTTTCCCTCCCCCACACCGGAAGCGCCCGGGGCCTGCCCCTACCAGCCCGGCTCCGGGCCTTGCTCCCCAGGTGCTCCTCCAGGCCAGTGCTCAGTGTGCTGGGAGCCAAGCACAGCACCGTGGGTCCCACTCCACATGCCACCTTGGGCCACGTAGGTCACACACGTCACAATCCCACACACCAAGTCATGCCACGGGGCGGGTGTCAGGGTGTTGCCCAGCCCCGGAGGGCGGGGGAGGAGCCAGCGGTTTGTGAGCTGCTGCCCAGGCTCCTTGGAAAGAGAAGGGCAGTGCTCGGGGTGCGAGGGCCAGCCACTGCCAGGCCGGGGGTAGGGACTGGTGATGAGAAGTATCACCTGTACCCGGGGGCCTGTGCAGAGGAATGTGGCTGGGAGAGGCCGACTTTCCCGTGCCCGCCTTTCTGTCCTTAAACAAGGAAAGAGGGGTGACAGCACAGTGGGTAGGGCGTTTGCCTTGCATGCGGCCCACCCGGGTTTGATTCCCAGCGTCCCAGATAGTCCCCTGAGCATGGCCAGGAGTAATTCCTGAGTGCATGAGCCAGGAGTAACCCCTGTGCATCGCTTTTTGGGTGTGACCCAAAAAAGCAAAAACAAAACAAACACAAAGTCAGACTGAGAGAATGGGGCTGTCACAGCCCACTGCACTGTTGCATGCACGTTGACGAGAGCAGGAGACACCAGCAGAGCAGACCACAGAACCAGCCAGTCCCTCATGGTGCAGTCTGTGCTCTGGGTGGGTGCTCTGAGTCCCTGCCCAGTAGTTCCTAAGGATGACGGCCCCGCTGATCTCTCTGTGGGGGACTGCTCCCCACCAGCACCCTGCCAGGGCGCACCAAGATCTGGGGGGAATGGAGGGGAGGTCCGCAAAGAAAAGTAGGACCGAGAGTGGAGAAGCCGGGGGGTCAGGGGGACAAGGAGAGGCCAGGCCAGCTCTGGGCAGCCTTGCCCGTCCACAGCCCAGGCCACGGACCCACAGCAGCCACCGACTCATGGGGACACAAGCCGCACACAAGCTCAGAAAACGCCAATTTCTGGGGCACGCGGACAGAGCTTGGGGCCGTTTCTATTTTTTCTTTGCAAGAACAAGGGTATACCAAAACACAGGTGACACAAGAAGGGCCCTGGCACCTTCCACAGCACAGGGTGGCCCCAGCCGGCAGTGGCCTCCCCCGCTAGCTTTGGGGTGCCCTCAGCCTGGTATTCTGAGCATGTCCCGGCTCACGGTCACAGACAGAGAAAGCCAACTGCGGTCTGGACACTTCCACGTTCACACCAGCCCCGGCCCGTGAACTCACCGGCGCCTTCTTGTCAATGGGCTTGATGACGAACTTCTTGTCGCTGAAGGAGATGTTCCTGATCTCACTCCAGGGGAAGCCGATCTTCGGGGTCAGCCTGGAACAAAGGAGCTGGTGAGCTCTGGGCCGGGGCTGCGGGTGTGCCAGTTGGGGCCCGGTCTGGGACGACACACTCCAGCCAGGGCCAGGCCAGGCGCCACGGGGCCTGGGACCCCCACACAGAGCAGGTGTGGGCGCGGGGTCTGAGGCCCCAGCAGGTCTCCGGGGCGGGCATGTGCCCCCTGCTCGCTGGGCTCTGCTAGCCACAAGCCTCGAGTAACGGGACGCTGTGAGCCGTGATCCAGGTGATGACTCAGCTGTGAAAGCAGTGACTCCCTTCGGACGGGACGGAAGACGGGGGCAGCCCCCACCTTGCTCGGGATGGGGGCTCCGTTCTTTCCGACCCTTCTGAAGAGTTTTCGAACAGAGACATCGGAAGGGCCGTCCTTGCTGGGTCACAGAGGCAGGGTGGGGTTGGGGGTGGAGCTGGGGTTCTGGGGCAGAACTCAGGGCCTCGCCTGTGCTGGAGACGGAACCACTTCTGGTCCCAGGCCACCGCTTTCTCTTTTTGGGGAGTGTGTGTGGGGGGGAAGGGGATAGGGCTTTTGAGCCACACCCGACAGTGCTCAGGGGTTCCTCCTGGCTCTGCACTCAGGGCTCACTCTTGGAGCTGCTAGGGGACCAGACGGGATGCCAGGGATGGAACCCGGGTCAGTCATGTGCGAAGCGACACCCTCCACACTACTCAGCCCCCAGCCAGGCTGTCATGCATGGCTCTCCTCCCGCAGGGCCCCGAGAACCTGTGTGTGTGTGTGTGTGTGTGTGTGTGTGTGTGTGTGTGTGTGTGTGTGTGTGTCTCAAGCGGACACCAATAACGTCTCCATTATGAGACTTGTTGTGACTGTTTTTGGCATGTTGAATACGCCACGGGGAGCTTGCCAGGCTCTGCCATGCGGGCGGGATACTCTCGGTAGCTTGCCGGGCTCCCTGAGAGGGGCGGAGGAATCGAACCTGGGTTGGCCACGTGCAAGACAAACGCTCTACCCGCTGTGCTATCGCTCCAGCCCCACAGTTTATTAAATAAGAAATAAAGTAGGGTCGGGGTAGCCCTAATACAGAGGGGCGGGTATTGCCTCGCACGTGGCTGACCGGGTTCAATCCCCCCAGGAGTGACCCTGAGAGCAGAGACAGGAGTGAGCTCTGAGCACCACACTGTAGCCCCAAATCCCAAACCCCAACGAAGTGTCTGGAAACATGTCCCAGAGACAGAGGCCCAGCACTGACAGCTTTGGGGGCGGGGAGGGGGCGTGAGGGCACTGAAGAAAGCCCAGAACATTCTGGGTGAGTAAGGATGAACGTGGGGAGGGGCCTGTCACCAGCTGAGCACACCATGAGGCCCCGCCTCCGGTTACCTGCTGGAGCTTGAAAAACCTGCCTGGACAGCCCCGGCCAATGGGGCGACAAGATCTGAACCGAGTTCAAAGGCTCGGGCGGTGTCCACGGGTTCCCACGGCCGCACCCGCACGGCAGCCCACCCTCTGGCTCGGCACAGCTCACCCTTGGCCAGGCCCACAGCTCACTCCAGTCTCCTGGGGTTCCCTCCTGGCAGCCACCAGACGGCCCTGGGTGGCAGGGGCACCGTGGGAAACTGAGGCCTAAGCAGGGGGTCTGGGGGTCTGGGGGTCTGGCACGGGCTGGATGGAGGGAACCAGACATGAGCTCACAGGCCGCAAAACAGGAGCAAGGACGCGTGGCCATGAGCAGGGGCGAGGGTGCATGGGCCGTGAGCAGGGGTGAGGGTGTGCGGGTCTCGAGCAGGGGTGAGGGCCTGTGGGCCTCAAGCAGGGGTGAGGGTATGTGGGCCCTGAATAGGAGTAAGGGCACCTGGGCTGTGAGCAGGGTTGGCAGGGGCGGGGGAGTGCAGGCCGTGCGCAGGGGTGAGGGCGTGCAGGCCTGGCTGGGCCTGACTGGGGACTGCCGCCTTTGGTCACCAGCCACAGGGTCTGCGGTTGGAGGTGTGGTCAGCACATAGACCAGGTGAGCCGGCCCCCAGGGACGTGTGCGCGCATCACTGAAGGGGGTCTGGGGCAGGGGCAGGCGCCAGGCCCTGTGCATCCACCCCCGGACCTGGGCCGCGGTGCCCACCCCCAGGGATGCAGGGCGCAGGTCAAAGGGCATGGCACCCCATGGCATCACTCTGCTGCTCAGGCCAAAACTGGGGACCCCCACCCTTGTCTTCCCAGGAGATGCTTCCTCCGACCCCATCTCAAATCTGGGGGGCTCTGGTGGTGGGCTGGAGGAGGGGCTGATGACCGACCGACCCCTGGGCTCAGAGAACCTGAGCCCCCTCCCTCCAGGGCGTGGCTGTGAGGCAGGGCGGGGCGGGTACACGAGAGAAGGGGGGCAGCGGGCAGCTCCTGTCCACGCTCTGCCTGTTCAGACAGCCAGGGAGGCCGCCGAGAGAACCATCCAGGCCCCGCGAGCACTCTGGGGTGGGTGGGCTGACGCCCAGGGCAGTTGGCTCCTGCGGCTTCCAAAATTTGTGGTGGGGATTAATTCCCCGGGGGTTTCACACATGACATCCATGTCCCCAGGGGAAAACCCACAAAGCTTTGCGGGCTGGCATCAGCTGGCAGAGTGGGGAGTGGCCCACGGGCACGAGTGTCACTCGGCGACCCCAGCCCACACCCACCTCGGGAGGGAGGGGACTCACTTGTCATCTTTCTCGTAGATGTTCAGCCCCAGGGCGTCCACGCCCAGCCACAGGTCCGTGCCTTTCTTGTTCTTGATCTCGAAATAGTTGATTCCGTACATCTCCAGGTCCTGGGCGATCTTCAGATACTCCAGCATGGCGCTGTCTCTGTGCGGGAAGAAAGCGGGCAGCGGTGTGAGGGCCGTGGAGACCACCCAGGAGAGCCCCAGGCCAGAGTCCGGTCACCCGCATTGCTGGGCACCTGGTCCCTCCCTCTCCCTCGACATCCAGCATCTGGACTCCAGCTGTTTCTCTTGGGGAAAGTGGGGGGCAGGAACCCCTGTGCATAAAGCGGGGGGCACCCACATTCCCCAAAGTGCAACCACGTTTTGTTTGTTTGCTTTGGGGCCGTTCCTGGCTCCAAGCTCACTCCTGGAGAAGCTCAGGGGATCCCACAGGGCGCACCCGGCCGGCCACGTCAGGCGGAGACCAGGCCTCCACGTCATGGAGAGCAAGCTCTGACGCGAGCCTGTCACATCCTCCGGACCACAGGGAGGACAAAGGGAGCACTTCCAGAGCGGAGTCCACACTCACTTGAGCATCCCGCGGTGCTCGGCGTGCCACACCTGGATGCGGTCCTCCCACTGTTCCCTGGTGAGCTTGTGCTGGTCCATGACTCTGCAAGAGACAGGGGTGGGGGAGGATAGGGTCAATCCACAGCAGGGGCAGTGATGTGTCCCGGTGTCCCACCATGTCGTATCAAACAATCCTTGGTCCCACTCCCCCGTGGTGACAGACTCAGAACCAAGACAGACAAGGCCGGCTCTTTGAGGACCAGCTCTCTGATCCCTCACAAGTCTTTGCTGAGACCACCAGTGGCCGACCACAGGGTGGGCATGCCCGGATCAGGGTCACCCGGAACTTGAACTGGGTTGTGTGTACTGCCCCCCGACCTACCTCTGCGGGATGAGCCGCTCGGAGTTGAGGTAGCCGGCCTTGTGTGTGTCCTTGCTGTAGTCTCCGAACTTGGCCTGGACGGCGTAGGAGCCCAGCAGCACGGCCGTCTCGGGCGGGCAGTAGATCTCGTCGCTGAGGATGCCCTCCTTCACTTGCAGGAAGAAGAGCTTCTGCGTGATGTCCTGGATGAGCTCCTCCGACACGTCCTCGGGGTAGAACTTGGCACGGAACTTGAACTGGAGTGGGTTCTCCTTTTTCATCTCCTGGGCAGACACCTGGGGGACGAGCCAGGCTCTCAGCACCCGGCCCCAGCCAGGTGTGGCCCCACCCGCCAGAGCACCCCTCGGGGCTGGGCCCAGGATTCTACACTGGAGGTCGGCTTCCTGGCATCAAGGACGCAAAGGCCTCGCCTGGCCCGTTCCACGGCCATGCTCTGAGCGGGCAGTCACCGGCCCCGATTACTAGCCCAGGTTTTCTAGGGATGGTGCGACCACCTTTTTCAGTGGTAAGAAACTGACTTTTGGGGGCTGGAGCAATAGCACAGCAGGTAGGGCATTTGCTTGCACGCAGCCGAACCCGGGTTCGATTCTCAGCATCCCATATGGTCCCCTGAGCACTGCCAGGAGTAATTCCTGAGTGCATGAACCAGGAGTAACCCCTGTGCATTGCCGGGTGTGACCCAAAAAGAAAAAAAAACTGACTTTGGGAACAATCTGCCCGTGTGGCTGGCACCTGCCCACACAGGCCTTCTGCCCTGTGCCACAAAACCGGCTTTTTACGATTCACCCCCTGCACCCCAACTAGCTGCCCTCCTGCCCTGTCAGGGACCCAAGGACAGGGGTGGGGAGGAAACAGTCAGATGCCACTTCCCTTCGTTACTGTTAGTGGCATTAGCCTGGCTTTCAAATTGGGAGATAATCTAGCGCAGGCTCCAACAAAGCCCCAATAGGCTTACAAAACAGTGCATGATTCACAGGTTAGAAGATTAACAGTCTCCCAGGCGGGGTGAGGAAGCCCAGAACTTTGCAAAGCAAAGCCCCGGGGAGCCCCCCACTTGGCAAGGATCGAGTTTCCAATCTCCACCCTAGCTGATGGGAAACCCACGACCTTTTAGTCTGCAGAAACTTTTACACAAATAAAAAGGAACAAAACGGAGGGAGGCCAGGCACTCCAGTTGCAGTGTCTGCGTCCCAGAGCTTGCGGGCACTTAACCCCGACGTACCTTTTTATCAAGCTTCAGCCAGGTGGGAAAGCCTTTGTTATCCACATAGTGGAGGCCGAAGTACCACACTTCACGGAGGCCGATGGTCTTCACCACCTACGGGAGACAGCGTGTGTTATGTGTGTCAGTGCACGCGTGCGCGCCATCAGCACATACACACACACTGACTGCCTGTCGAGCCCAAGGAAGGAATTCCAAGGTGCCAGTGTGGGTAGGCCCTGTCCGCCTCTTCTCTGCAGGCTAGTGCCCAGCCTTGGAGCGGGCATACTGAGCACCCCGGGCAGAGGGACCAGCCTCCTCTCAGCCTGCAGAAACCTGCAGTTCCCATCTGAAAAAGAGCCTCAGCCCCAGTGGCAGACTTCCCCTGAGCACCACCTGGAGTAATTCCTGAGCACAGAGTTGGGAGTAAGCCCTGAGCACTGATGGGGGGTTATTAAAAAAAAAATCCAAGTTGGAAACAGGAAAGCAACCTGCTGAACATCCTCAAACAGGGCTTGGAGGGCTTTGCTGTGGGATTTCAAGTCCCACGACATATAAAACGTGAAAAGCAGGTGACCACTGTCCAAAAATAATACTTCTAGTGAATGTGAAGGGAGCAAGGGCTGAACACACTCAAGCCGACCAATCAGGTGTCCGGACACACTCGAGCCGACCAATCAGATGTCTGGACACACTCGAGCCGACCAATCAAGTGAACACACTTGAGCCGACCAATCAGGTGTCCGGACACACTCGAGCCGACCAATCAAGTGAACACACTCGAGCTGACCAATCAGGTGTCCGGACACACTCGAGCCGACCAATCAGGTGTCTGGAGCACTCGCTCCACTTCCAATCCGAAGTGGCAGAAGTCAATTTCCAGTGCCCAGAGTCCAGGCCTGGCCAGACCCTGCCCCTAACGCGGGCTGCTCCTCCAGGGGGGGTGGGGGGTGTAGGTGGCTGTCACCAGGCTTCCGTGGGTCACAAGGAGAGGAGAGAATTTTGCCTTTTACCAGCCTTACTCGGGAGACCTTGCTGAAGCCCGGCTTACCCAGCTGGAGCTTTTTAGAAGGTTCTGACAGAGAAGAGCAAGGCTCTATGCCAAGCAAAGACATGGACATGTGGAGGGACAGTGTGTCAGGGTGGGGGACAGTGTGTCAGGGTTGGGGACAGCATGACAGGATGGGCAGGAGTATCCTCATCATCCTGGAGTGGCCAAGGCCGGACAGGCAAAACTTGGGGCTGTGGGTGAGTGGGGTCTGCCCGGGGTTTCTCTGGCACACTGTCGGGGTGGTGCTGGGACACCCAGGAGACCAGGCACCGGCTCTGTGCATGTGTCCTTTAACCCGACAGCACAGGGCTGAGGGTGCCCACAGCTGCCCATTCCGTCCCTGGCAGTACAGTGCTTGGGGTCTCTCCTGGGTGGAGCCAAACCAAAGATGAACAGGCAGATGAAAAGCAAAAACGGGTCTGGGGTCCTGGGGCACCCTGCAGAGCTGCCCGCACGGCCTCTCCCCTGCCCGCACACTCCACCCTCACTGCAGGCTGACCTCTGGGGAACCTTTAGATTCCTGCCCCAAGTCCAGCCCCACCTGGCCGTAAATCCTTATCCTTAGTGGGCGAGGCAAGAAGGGGGTGCCCTCCACGCCATGGCACCGCTCGGGCCGAGGGGCGTGGCCGAGCAGCCCGGGGGCAGGCGGGCAGGCACACCCTGGCACCCTCAGCCACACTCCTCCAGGCTGCTCCCCGGGGCGGGATCTGCCTGTCCACTGGCAGGGAGAGAGAAAGGTGATGGGAGGGGTTGGGCAGGCCCCCCAGGCAGCCCACCTGCACGGGTACCAAACTCAGGTCATTTCTGGGGGCTCTCAGCAGCCTCACTGGACCCAGCACAGATGCCCGCTCCCTGCAGAGCTGGGAGCTAGCTGCCCATGGGGGTCACCACTGCGCCTCACTCTCGCACCCGTCAGGAGGGTCCCCATCACGCCCACAGCTGCGAGGAGAGCAGAAGGCCACCCAGTCCCAACAACACCCCAAGACTCGGTGTCCAGTCTGCAGACCCCTGAGAGCCTGCGCACAGCTGGGCAGAGCAGTGAGTCCTGGGCTGCTCAGGACCTGTCCGTTCAGCTCCCTGCTCCCACGAGGGTCCCCCTGAGAACCACCCCCTTCCCACTAGGAATCTGCCTCCAGGGGTGAGATGCGCTTTAATGGGGAGGCAGATGGGATCTTGTGGTGCAGGGTGAGAGACACCTCTAGGTGCCATGCAAATGCCCACTTTGGGGTTTCTAGTGCCAATGAGCACAGCCCCGACTGCCCTCCCCCTGCACTGTCCCGCACCTAGGGATGGGGACCTCTGCCAGGGGACAACTTCAGGGTCACTTGAAGCATCTGCACCCCCAGCCCCCGGGCACACCTGCACAGCTGTCATCTAGGGCCTGCAGGAGGGGCTGGCAAAGTTGAAGTGTTACAGGGGGCCCTGGGTGGGGAGTCCAGGGCTGCTGACTCCCTTCAGCAGGCAGGTTCTCGTCCTTCCCTGTGCCCCGTGCCAACCCGAGCGAGCTGGGGACTCCTGAGGCCCAGGGTAGGGAGGGTTCAGTGCTGAGGGGCAGCAGGGTGGCAGGTCCCGCTCACAGCAGCTGGACTCACTGCCACCAGGGAGACAGTGGCATCTGGCAGCAAACAAATCCCCCCCGCTGGTGAACAGCCACTGACCTGGTCAAACAGCTGTTTGCCGGTGGTGTTGGGCTGGATGGCGAACTCCAGCTCCGCGTCCATGGACGTGACCCGGACATTGATCTGAAAAAACAAGACAGGAGTTGAGCCACTCGCGGTCTCCACAGAAGTGACAGCCCTGCCCACGCCACTCACCATGTGCACAGACACGCGTGTGAGAGCGTGCACACAGTCCAGAGGCTCGGCATGTAGCCACACACGTGGCTGGTGGGGCTCAGCACACATGTACACCTGCGTGTGTAAGCACCCCAAAGGAGAGCATACATAGGCACTCAGCATGGGAGGTCATACTCGCCCATGCAATGAGCCCCGCTCTCTGCCCACAAAAGCAGAGATTTTCCCAGACACCATCTGCTGGGACCCTTCCAATGGTCAGTGGGCAGGAGACTCCTGAGAACTGACTGCAGTGGTGAGTGCAGGGAGAGGAGGGTCCCATGGCCAGGATGCTCAGTGGGAGAAACGGCAGAAGACACCTCTCAGAGAGTGCTAATCAGAGGGGGGTTAGACAACGGAGACACAGGCAGAGGCGTCCAAATGCAGAGTAAGACAAGCACACGGCACAGATCAGGGTGCGAGGGGCTGAGATGCACCCTGAAGCCTGGGTGCCCGAGTCCCCGTGGGCCTGGGAAAACCCATTTCAAATTCCTAAGAAAAGCCAGAAGAATCGGATGAGGAGCTTGCAAAGTCGATGCATTACCTCCTCATCCCAGAGGGAACCCCCACATCCGTGGCAAAGGTTCAGAGAGGTTTCTGGGGGGTGGGGGGGACGGATCTCTGGAGCACGCCCCACCTGGACACCACGAGGGTCCTGCCCTCCGGTCTCCTGAACCCAGCACTGCCCGGATCTGCTCTCCTGGCCCGTCGTGGCCTTTGGGATGGAAACTTGAGCACATCGCAGTAATCCAGGCTGAAGGCCCCACGCCTGCTCCTGACGCCCACCAGCACAGACCAGCACAGACCAGCACGCAGGTCTGCCCCAGCCCCCCAGCACTCTCGGTGGGTGTGCCCAGGCCACAGTCCTCATGATGCCAGGGTGCCGCCCGGCAAAGATGGGGCCACAAGGACAATAAAACCGGGACCAGCAGTGGGTATTCCCTGCACTGCTCATGCCCCTGGCTCGGGCTAGAATGCCCCAGAATTTCTTACTTTTAGCAGCTCCCTAAATTACAAAATCCAGATTGTTTGATAAGGGTGTAGACTGCTACCAGTATGTGCTGGACAGTCTTCACCCACAGGCTGGGCAGGAAGGTGCGAGGTGCAAGGACAGGTGTACTAACACAATCACGTGCACGTGTGTGTGTGTGTGTGTGTGTGTGTGTATGCGCGTGCGTCCATCCATCCATCCATCCATCCATCCATCCATCCATCCATCCATCCATCCTATTTGCCCCAATGTCTCACAGGTCTGGCCATCAGCAGTCTCCATTTTGCAAGGCCACCTCAAGTACTAGAGTGCTTGGCATTCCTGAGCCTCCCACTGGATCCAGTGTCCCTGTCCCATGGAAAAGCATGTCTCCATGCACACACAACACACAACACACATACACACTCTCTCTCTCCCCAAAACTCAGAAAGAGAAGACGACAGTCTTCCTCCCTGCTCTAGCTCTCTTTTGTGAGGGACTTTTTCACACAAATCCCGGCCCACAGCTCCAGGGCCGTGGGGAGATGCCGGCTCCCATTTACCGAAGCACTAAAGCCTTTCCTCTTCCTTGTTCCAGGGGTCCATAGGAAGCAAGTGTTTTTAGTGCTCTAGAGACCGTGTTTGCACAGAAAAGCGGTGGGCGTGTCCGCCACACACTCAGAGTGAGTGGTCCCTCGGGAAAGCCGGGTCCCAGGCATCAGTGGGCCTCCAAACGCAAACTTTGGGAGAAAGGGTGTGTGGTGGCTCTCTGCCGCCCGGCTCGCCCTGATCACACACACCTTATCAGGACCACGTGTGCGGAAGCAGGAGCTGCTAAGCACCTGCCCCTCCTGTGGCAGCACGAGGGTCCTTGGAATCTACTTTCCAGTCTCTTAGTTGGGGACGGACGGGGCTGGTGATTAAATAATTTTGGTCTCCTGGGACTGGAGCAATAGCACAGCGGGTAGGGTGTTTGCCTTGCACACGACCGACCCGGGTTCGATTCCCAGCATCCCATATGGTCCCCTGAACACCGCTAGGGGTAATTCTTGAGTGCAGAGCCAGGAGGAACCCCTGTGCATCGTCGGGTGTGACCCAAAAAGCAAAAAAAAAAAAAAAGTTTCTTGGTCTCCTGCACCCTCCCCACCTGCACACACAGAGTGGATGAAGATTTAATAATTCATGTGTCTCCTTCAAATGCTATCCCATGAGTGCTGAGACACAGGTCATCCTGGGAGTTCAAGTCCAGAAAAGGAACCAAGGAACTCACGCTCAGGCTGGCCAGCACCGATGGGCGTTAAGTCTCCCAGAGAAAGTGTGGCACTCCCCAGGTTCTGGGTCTCCGCCCCGGAATCTGCAGTTTTTATTTCATTGTTACTTTTGTTTGTTTTGCGGTCACACCCAGTGGTGCTCAGAGCTTACATCTGGTTCTGTGCTTGGGGATCACCCTGGGTTGGCCACATGCGAAGCAAGTGCCTTACCCGCTGCTGTTCTGTCTCTCCAAGCCCCTCAGCAGTTTTTAAAGCCACTCAAACAATTCTGAGGACAGGCCCACTTGCAGGCCCAGGGAACCCTGCACTCAGGGCGAGTGCCTGGACACCAAGCTGAGGGTGTGTTCCCCCTGGGTCAGAGCCCCACTGGACCAGGTGTCCGGAGATGCCTTCCAGCTCTGACACGCAAGGACTGAGTCAGAGGATGAGATGCAGATAGGCGGGGAGGGGCCGCGGGCAGGGCAACAGGCATCATCTCTGTCGGGAAGGCTCGGAAGGGGCAGGCCCAGGAGGGCAGCCCATGCAGCCAAGGTCCCTTCACAGTCAAAGGTGCTAAGCCCTTGACAAGCCAGCCGACAGCCCGTGCCAGCCTCTGGGCTGGGCACCAAGCGCAGCTAGCCTGAGACCAGGGCACTGGCCGGACACTCCCCACTGCCCCATGGCCTGGCCACGCCCCTGCCTCAGCCCACGCATCATCTCAAGAACCCACTTCATGGTGGTTTGTAAAATGAAGGAGCTAGCACTAATTTAGGAGTCTTCCAGATCTAAATCCCGTCATTTAGAAACCACTGAGTGCGTGCTGGCACTTCTGAGTCAGGCTCTGGGGACCCTGCAAAATTATCTGGCCTTGAAAGGGAGAGGGATCAAGAGTTGATGGGACCTGGGATTGAGTGAGGTCAGGTAAATTAAGGTTCTCGGTAGTATACCCCACCCCCCCACACCAGCCCACTCTTTAACAGAAAGTCTGAGAGTCTCTGCCATGACGGTGCAAATTGTAAAATCCCAGAATAGTGTCATTTCCTACAATTTCCAAATTGTTCTGCCCAGGGACTTTTTATTCTCCAGGAACCTTACTTTTCAGGATGCACTTTGGAAACCATGATTTCAGACCTTCCCGATTTACTTTGCTCAGAGTTGTACCCAAGCATCCTGTAGCAAAGCCTGAGAGATCTCGTGAGGCAAGCCTGCAACTGTCTGACAATGAAATATTCTATTTTATGTCTAACCCACGGGAGCACTGGAGTTGACGGTCGAATGACATCCTAGTTATTACCCTGGCTTTGTGAAAAACAAAAACACTGCCATAGACTTTTCCCCGAGGGAAAGTGCTCATGTCCTCCTGAAATACTGGCTCTCCCAGGATCGCTCAACCACGTCTTTTCAGTTAATAAAACCGAATGAAGACAGAGGGAAAAGCAAGCAACCAGGTCTCCTCTTAGCACCTTGCACTGTTCCCAGCCACTTTCCTGTGTACTCCAGAATCCGGAGCAGCACCCACAGTAGTGGAAATGTTCCATGGAAGCCGGGACTCCCGGGCAGCAGTAACTGCCAGCTCCACACGGGCACACCTGCCTCTCGGCCCCACCAAGACGACACGGGCCTGACCTTTCCTAATCATTCCAAATGTCAGCGCTGTTTTCCAACATTCCAGTCTTCCTCGGAAGGCGCCACTTCAGCAACTTCGAACAGCTTTCAAATATTTGGACAAGACCTTTCGAATACTTAGAAACACTCTGATAGGAAGTCGAGAGTCAACTTTCCCCGACAAATGGGGCGGGGAGGGGAGACGATAAATGAGTTAGAAAAGCCTTTTCCCGAGCTATTTCTGGTCCACTTAATGGAAAAGTCATAGGGAAGATGGTGCGTTTCTTGCTTTCCAGGGTGAGTCACCTGTATGCTTTGTTAATGACAGCTCTGCCGAAATGCAATCGACACCCCATAAAGACTCACCCATTTGCCATGTGCAACTCCGTGGTTTGGGTTGCACAAGTGTCTCTCTTGCATCTAATTTTAGAACATGACATCACTCCGCCCCCAGCCCCCAGAAACCCTGAGCCGTTAGGCATCACTCCCCTCCGCTCCCTCCCCCAGGCAACCAGGGCTACTCGCTGTCCTGAGCGCTGTCCCTGTTCCGGGCCTTTCCTGGAAACAGGATCACCGGGGCGTCCTGAGAAGCCAGACGGCAGACCCAGCGGCCGGTTCAGGCCACCCCACTGTCATCTTGACTTCCAGGGAGTCTGTCCACTCACGCATCGGCTGCCCACTCTGCCTCACTCACGATAAGGAAACAGCTGGAAGACAGGGCAGTGTGACCCGGCCATCTGTGGTCACACGGGCACCGCAAACTGACCGAAAAAACTGATGGGGGAAAACGGAGATGGAAGAAGAGGGAATTCCACTGAAATGCCGTAAGGGAGCGGGCTGTCTGCACGGACTGCAGCTCTGCTGTGGTCTGGGGAAGGCGGCCAAGCCAGGGCGCGAGCACACTCGAACCCTGTATTCCTCCTGCTGGACTCTCCCACAGTCCCGTGGGGGTCGTTCCTCCCCACATCACATCTGCTCGGAGGATTCGAGGCGGTGCCGAGACAGAGCACGCCCGAGGACCCGCCCTCACGGCAAGCTCCCGGCGACCACAGCCAACAGACCAGCTTCCGCTCCGGGCTCCCTGAA